CAAATATACAATAAATTGCTAAAATTATTTTTAACTAAAATATAAATCATTTTAAAACTCATTTTTTCAAATGATTAATATTTTCATAATTTACCTCTCATTTCCTTACATTGAGACAAATGATAACTTATTTGCTTATTTAACTCATAGAAGGACCTGTAATCAAAAAATAACAAATTTTTAAAAACTATACACTTTTCAGTAGTAACTAATATCAAATATTATTATCAGACTCCCGTTCATGAATTTTTTTTTAAATATTTAGTAAACGATATTTTTAATATAAAATGACCACAATTGGCAATGTTATAAACAATTTTATACTGAATATATTTATAATTAATCATTTTTTGTTTACTCTTATGATTAACCATATAATAGCATCAGACCCGTTAAAAGTGGTAATTATAATTATATTCAGTATAAAATTATCTATAACATTGCCACTTGTGGTCATTTTTATATTAAAAATATCGTTTACTAGATAGTCAAAAAAAATCATGAGTCGGGATGAGTCATGATTTGGGTCTAATTTTAAGATAGAGCCTAATTTCTAACAAACCAAATAAGAGTTGACGTAACAATAAATATAAATATAACGGCTATCACTAAAAGTCCATTAATTGGTTTATTATAAATACTACTTATAGTAGAAGTTATCTCTGTTGTGGACATTTGACTATTTGTTTATTACATTAACTTTAGACTTAACATTGGGCTTAACTTTAAAACTACTGTTAATTAAATAATTTGGATTAAAGTTTAATCTTTAGGTTTAGTAAAATCTCAAAAGTAGTTATTTTAAATAATTGAATTTAACTTTATTTACACGTGATTTATATATACAGTAATTATATTGATATTTTTTACAAATTAACAAATCTAGTCTAAAGTTTTTACTTCTCTTAATTGTAATTATTATGAGTAATTAATAATAAAATAATCACTAATTATTTTATTATATTAGCATTATTATCGTTATTATTATTATAGTAATAGTTAGTATTATTGAGAATAAGATAATAGTACTGGATTAAAATATATTTTAAAAATAAAATAATGATTACGTAACAAATACAGTATACATATTTTTATTATATACTTTAAAATGAATTTTAATAATGTAAATGATTAGCAAATATTGTATTAATTTAGGATTGAGCGTAAAGTTTCGTAATTTTAGACAATTTAGTATAGTTTAGTCAGTTATTATTTAAGGAGTTGTTTATTGAAGGAGTTGTCATCAATTGAGTTGTTCTCTTAATTTTTGGTGTTTTAGTCACCCGTTTGGTTGGTTTTGTCGTATTATTTGTTGTTTTATATTTTGTTGGTTTACTGTATGGCGTTGTCTTTCTATGTGTTTGATCGACCGGTTTATAGTGATTTTGCATAAAACTATTGTACCCGTCTTCACCATTTGCACCGTTGTAACCATTGGTAGCATTTCCATCATGACTTAATGATAAACTGGAATTGTTAGACTTATGTTTTGAGGTCTCGTAATGTGGATGTCTACCATTACCGCCATATTCATGATGTCCCGGATAACTGTCCACTTGGATTTGACCATTACTATTCAAATAATCTTCAATCCACTGTTGAATATACTGTTGTCGTGCAATATCTCTTATGGTTTGTTGTTTGTCGACATTATCATTGATACTATTGATATTTTCATTATTAGGACTTTGCTTTATTTGCTCGGATTGTTTACTGAGATGTCTATCATATAAATTTTTTCTGATTGTTGTGGATGTACTACACAATGTCAAATATATGCAAAAATTTGTTAAATTAAAAATAGTTAATATAAACTTCATTTTATAATAATAAAGACAAACTAATCTGAAAATTTGTTCAGTTTTTTTCGCAAGCAATTAAACTAAAATATTTCTAAAAATATAATTAATTTAGAGTTTCTGACTAATAGCACCTATCACATATTTTTAAAAAATACAAATTAGGAATAGACTATATAACAACATTTTTGTCAATAATTTTGCAATCAACCAGTTTTATATAAACAAAAATCATTAAATATTATTATAAGTTTAAATGTTTATTAGACTTACAAATTAGTATTAATTTAATAAAATTTAATAAAATGTGTATTTATATTAAAATAGCTTAATTTTTCAAATAAAATTATTATGAAATAATGGGCTTTTGTCGGGTCTGGTTGACGGCCATATAAAACTTGGATGAGCTGAGGGTCTGTGCGCTGGTTTAAGCCATGGTCTTTGGATAGGATTTATTGGTTTACTATGAGTTTCAACAGAATCTTCAGGAATGGTCTCTTCAGAAGTACTAAAAGTTATTGCATTAGTCGTCGTTTCCAATTGAATAGTAGGCCTTACAGTAGTTTCAGATATTTTTTGCGTGTTTGCCTTAATTGGTTTGTTTGTCTTACTTACGATCCACGATATAATTGTTTTTCTTGTTGTCTTTGTTTGTCCATCAGCTTTGGTACTGTACTGAGCGTACATGAGGTCAGTAGTTGGTGTCGTTGGTGTCGTTGGTCTCATAGAATTATCATTAAGTTTATTTTGTCTTGAAGTTACTGTTGTGTTGTTTTCAGATGGTGGAGGTGTCCCAATCATTACATTTCCCCCATTTCCACCATCACCTCCATTACCACCCGGACCGCCGTTTCCATCACCTGTTGCATTACCTCCAGGTCCACCAAAACCGCCATCACCTCCATTGGCTATATGTCCAGTTACAATAGGAAATAAACTATTGCCATAACTTAGTTGTAGAAATAAAATTACTTCAATAAAAACTATTAAAAAACTATTTAAAAATAACATTTTTTTTATATCTAACTTATATATACATATAATTGATAGTTATTTGCTGCTAAAAATTGAAGCGTTTTAGTAAATCATATTAATTTTACTAACTTATTTTTATGCCACATTACATGTTTTTAACTCAACAAATTATATATTTATAGTCAATGTTGTATAGTTAATGTGCATTGACTGCACCAAACTGTACATATAATTTTAAATATAAAATTATAGATTTATTAATTAAATTATAATTATATTTTTAATATTTAGATATTATATATATATTTATGAAAAACAACAATAATTTGATTTGTACTATGTTTTTATTATTAAATAACATGAGATTAGATTGAAATTTGATATAAATTAAAAATATATATAAGACTACTATACATATGTACTAAACAAATACATTATCAGACAAGACTGGAATGTTGTCACTGTTGTCAACATTATGTCTATCGCTGACAATGTTTGGCCGTTCCTGTGATTCATTGTTTTGCTCGGATTTATTGATGACCTCTTCAACTGTGCTTTCAGTATCACTGCCTTTGAGTGCATTTTTATCTTTAGACCCCTTTTCAAAATTGCTCCAGGGCAAATTGTCAAAGTGGTTCCAAGTGTGCTGTTTGCTCTGCTTATTAGGCCTTATCGGTGCATAACTGGGCGGCGAATCATATAATGGATAGTTAACAGGTGGTGGCGGCTGATTGTATGATTCAAATGTGTTGTGATTGTTTGAATCTTTAGGACAATTGCATGGTTTGCCCTCATGTGAGCTCCACGATGGTGACTCCCAATTTAATTCTCGGGGCTCATTATCCCGTGCAGTGTTCGAGTGGGACAACCATGAGTTGTCATTACCCCAACCTTGTGATTGTTCGGCATCCGAAATATGTGATGGCGACAATTGGTCTGATCTGTCCCGATCTCTATCTCTTTCGGGCCAATTGTTTGAACTGTCAAAATCGGAAAGACTACTGCTCCACGGTCTATGACCACTATGTCCTTCATTATTTCCCCATTTGTTTGGTAGTGGTAATACTGCCGGCTCTGACCACTGAGAGTCGCCATCATTTGACCAGTCGTTATCTGGTTCACCCCATTGAGGACTACCCCAATTATGCCATCCCCTCTCTTTTGACTTTTCTTTAGAAGGCAGTACTACTCTATCTTTAGCGGAAATCAGGACAGAGTCCACTGACTTTGACTTATTGTTTGTGTTGGCCGTCAGGTCTACGGCCTCTATCGGATATAACACTAGTATAGACACAAAAGGCAATAATAAACTAAACATTATTTGTAAATAAAAATTAAAATTTATTGCCAAACAAGTTAAACGATATGTGATTTTATGACATTCACACTTATATACGGCACTTAACTGAATCATTGAATTTTCATGACGTCTACCCCATTATAAACACATCTGCTTTATATAAAATGTTTAAAAATAAAAAAGTTTCACAATTTTTTTAACTAAGGGGTCAATGCTTTATAAGTTTAAGATTTAAGTATTAAGTTTCTATATTAAGTAATTATTTATAATTTAATTATAAAATAAAACTTTTCCAAAGACATTAAAATTATCAATTTCAATTAAAAATAACAAATAAATAATAATAATTTTATAACAATTAATAAGAGAAAAATTTCTAATTATGCTAAATGTATACCTAATCTGCAACAAATAAATTGTTAGATAAATTCCTATTAAATATTATTAATTATGGAGTTATTGTTTGAGAATAAATTAGCAAAAAATCATTTCCTATCTTTTTTTAATCAACACATTAAATCCATAACTATTAAGTATTTATTTCTATAATTTTCTAAAATATGAGTCAATTGAACAAAAAGTTTTTAATAATAAACTGCAAATATAATATATTTTTGTAAATTTCAATTTTCGATGTAACTTATGTTTTTAAATCAATATAATATAAACATATTTTTTGAAACTAAAAGCTAATTAATTTTTACTCAACCAAATCAAAGGTTAAATACCCTATTTATTATTAGATGTATTTGTGTGTGTTTTTAGATGGATAGCCCTGTAATGGTACAACACATGCAATACAATTGGTCCATTAGGTTATAAAAGCGATGACTATGTGCAACAAGTTTGCCAGATTGTCATTAAATTTGTTGGCATATTATATATATATATAGCCTTATGATATAATAATAATAATAATAATCAAAACATGAAATTTTCCATTTTATTCATCACATTATTAGCCATTTGGCGCACGAATGCCATTCCCGTCGAAAGCAAAGAAGTGGCAGAAAATAGCAAAGAGGTTGTCGATGATAAAGACATTGATGAAAATCTTGATGTCGAGTCATTAGTTGAATGGGATATACCGGTCGATGCCATCAACTTTGATCTTATTAGCGATAGAGTCCTCGAAACCGATGAGTTGAATGAAAAATTTTTCGAAGAAAAGAACGGAACGGATGTCGATGATGTCATACACATTGATGAACATGACTTCAGAGAGGCACCAGTGGAGGGCCCACCACTTGACCAAAGTGAACAACCAGTACTGCAGTCACTTCCAGGTGTTGCCGAAATTAATTTAACGCAAAATCTGACGGGTTATGCACAGTTCGACACCGAAGACGAGGCTAAGGAGGTGGAGGGTGCGAACCGGGAGATTCGTATAGAACTCAGTGATTTACTTTCACCCGAAGAACTTGATTGGTCTAAACCACAGGTGGGCGCACCCGAACATCACGATGAATATCAACCGTCACATGTCGTCCAGTTCCCACACGAAGCTCTGATAGGTTAGTCATGGATTGCATTTGTTTGTATATATTGATTGATATAAAGTGTCATTAATTTATTTATAGAAAACATACAACTCTTTCCAGTGGAAGACGTCGAGAAAAAAACTGACGAAACGCTAACAACCAATGAAGTCAACACTGGAAACGTTGTTAAACATTAAATTTAATTATATCTGATGTTTGTGTTGTTTTTATATATTATTTAAATTATTTCAAACTATTTTAAATTATTTTTCTTACATTTTAATAAATAAACAAATCTTTAAACAAATATTTAAACAAATCTTAAATATAATCATTAATAATAATTACTGTATATTGTTACTAATAATGATGTTTAAAAAACTTAGTATTAATTAATATTGATATCTTTAATTGTGTAATTGTAATTTGTACTGTATAATATGTAATTAAACCGTTTGTAATATTTTATTATTATAATAACATTTAGTTATTGTTTTTTTTTTTGAAAAACAAACTAATAATATATTTAAATTAAATTTTGTTTTTATTATTAAGTTCATTAAACTATTCACAATTATGTGATTCATATTTTTACTGTTTATTAAATTATTGAAAAACTAAATTAAAATATAATTTTTAACTATTATTATATTAATTATAAAAAATTAACATCAAATAAGAAATACAGGTTTAAACATAACTCAAATGAACACATATTTATTATTTTATATTATTGAATGAATGATTTCAAATGAATTTATTCTATGGTTTATGAATAGGTTTTGCACCTCCGGGTAAATTTTGGTTGACTCCACCGATTCCATTACCAGAATGACTTCCGACAATTAAACCACCCTTTCCGTTATTATTGCCAACACCTCCCGTACCATTGGCTGAGTTTTTACCACCTTTGTTACCACCAATGCCGTTATTATCACCTACACCTCCCTTTCCGTTTCCTATAGTATTAGATTGATAGTGAGATAATTGATTGATTGATTGATAATTATCTAAATGTTTGCTAGAATATTAACTAACCAGAGTCATGGCCAACAATAAAACCTCCCAATCCATTATCAGTGCCAACACCGCCAACACCATTAGCGCCATTACTTTGAATAACATTACCGCCCAAACCATTTAATTTTCCTACACCTCCTTCTCCATTACCTGAACTATTACCAACCATAGCACCTCCCAGTCCATTAGTATCACCTACACCACCGATTCCATTACCAGTATTTTCACCAAAATGATTGCCACCAATTCCATTTAGGTCATCATCGGGTTCGGGATGGGGTGGTTCAGGTTTAGATGGTCGTTCATCCCACCAACTGGGTAAATTTGGATTACCAGTCCACGCAGTGGCTGGGATTTCAGGTTTACTCGGTTTATGCGGGTATGCGGGCGGTCTATAATCGAACTCTGGTTCGGGTTTTGGATTATATGAAGGGTTACTGTGTATCGGTGGCCATTGAGGTTGGGATTCTGGCTTAACTGCAGGCGATTGAGGCCACCAATCATTGTCATTAATAGATGGATTTTGCGACTGAAGAATGGGTGGTTTGCGTTTATGACTTTCGCTATCATCTGTATCATCCCATTCATCATAGACGGCATCAAATGGTGAGTTTGGTTTAGTTGATTTTGGTGTAGTTGGTTTGTTCCACCATTCATTGTCTTCATCTTCGAAACTCGGTTTAGAAGTGGGTTTATATTCAATAGATGGTGATTGTTCCCATGGAGGGGGTTGATAGGAGGGCTTTATTGGTTGGGGTCGAGAGTCAGGTTTTGAATAAATAATGCTGGGTTTTATTTCGTCCTGATTGTCATCCCAGGGAGGTCTGGGATATTCATTGATAGGTGGATTAGCTTCATGTGATTCGTTTGGTATTTGTGGTCTGATTTGGCTAATCGGTCGGTTCTCATTCATCCACTCTTGTATGGTATTTGGTTCTCTATTAGGAACTTTGACAGGTTCTACGGGAACATCATCTTCCCAAGGATCGGTTGTATATCCCATAGACATATGATTGTTAGACCATTGTGTTTGTGGGCCGTCCAATATTGGTGGTTTCTGAGCAGCCCAGGGAGGGTTCGAATCAATAGGTTTAAGCATAGGTTTAACATCATTGTCCCATTCATTATCCATATCATCATCAGGTTTGGGATAACTCATTGGTTGCTTATTGACAACATTTCCTTCATTATCATTATTGATTGGACTTCCATTAGGACTGCCCGGTCGTGATTTAGTTGGTCTAATTTGTGGCATTTTTTGTTCCTGTTTATGATCTATTATACTTGGTTTTGTTGGTCTCAAAATATCCTGAATCTCTGATATAATGGGCACTCGTAGACCCCTTTCCTCACGCAAACCTTTTTCAACCGGATGGACATCAATACTTCGAGCAACTGATTCAACTTCATGATTAAAACCGGACTTAGTTTGTAAAGTACTGGTAATAGTAGTAGTAATTTCATCGGTAGTGGCCAACTGTTGTTCACCCGATGTCAATGTGACTGTAATTAACAAAATAATAGTTAAAACATTCATAACTTTTTGTTGGTTTGTCTATTAAGAAACAAATGATTTTACCGTTTAATGAATTACCTGTTTTTTAAGTCATTTCTATACCACATATGTGTTAATTAGGATTTTAAAGTGTCATTTTTGTGTACAACTATTGATCTCATTTTCTAAACTAACAAATAATTTATTCATTTGTGTTAAAAACGTACAATAATTTTTTATAATTATATAATTCATGACACATTTATTAAAAAAATAAAGCTTGAATCACTTAGTTTTACAGATTTTTAATATTAATATTTTATTTCTCACTAAAATAAAATAAAATAATGTTTTTTATAGAACTATACAACATTTTAGAAAATAATAGATATTTAATAAGAAAATGAATTAAAATTACTTTTATTATTACAAAAATAATTACAATCATAATTTTAATAATTACGTGAAATTTATTAATTAATAGACAATAAGTTATTTACAATTATTGACAAAAATTTTATATAAGTAATGCTATATTGGCTTAAATGGTTTAAAAGGTTTCAAAATTGAAAAAATTTGATTCCAGTCTTTTCCTTGATTTAATGTCTGTCCCGCGTCTCCGTTACCAGAATTAGCACCGTTATTATTACCACCTTTCCCACTATTATTACCATTACCACCCTTTCCATTGCCTAAAATTAATTTTAAAAAACATTAGAAATAAAATATAAATTATTGTTAATAACTGAGTACCTGATGAATGACCCACATTGTTGCCACCATTGCCAACATTGTTGCCAATACCTCCTCTAGCATTAGCAGAGTTTGGACCGCTATTATTGCCTCCCAAACCACTGTTATCTCCTTTACCACCAAAACCATTACCAGAATCATTACCGACATTTCCTCCACCATTTCCATTATTTTTGCCTTTCAATTTATTGTATTAATAATTTATAAATAAAAATAGTTTATATATATATCTAACCATTTCCACCGTAGCCATTGCTTGAGTTGGAGGCAATATTATTACCACCGATGCCATTCCAATGTCCAATATCGCCCACTCCTGTACCCGACATATTTCCTATGTTTCTGCCTCCGTTTCCATTATTATCTCCAGTTCCTCCAACTAAAAAATAAAATAAAAATTATTTATCGTTATAATAATAAGTTTTAAAAAACTAACATCCGTTTGATGAGTTTTCGCTGATTATGTTTCCTCCAATTCCGCTATTGTTTCCAACGCCTAACAATTTTTGAAGAAATTTATATTAAATTTATTTTTAGATTATATAATATATTAATTTAAATTTGCCTCCAATTCCGTTGCCATTTAACTGTCCCCCGTTTGCGCCTCCGTTTCCATTATTGAAACCTCTGCCACCTTTACCATTGCCCACATGATTGCCAATAATGTCACCTCCGATACCATTGTTATCTCCAATGCCTCCAAAACCATTGCCCGAGTCATCACCAAAATTTCCTCCTTTTTTATAAATATTTTTATTATTAAATGTGAAAATAACAAAATAAATACTAATAGACCTCCGTTTCCATTTCCATTGTTATGAATTCCCGCTGGTCTTTCAAAACTATACGGCTTATGTATTGTTGGCTTAATAATAGGCACATAGTCTTTATAAAACAAATTATCAGTTTTTTTATTATCTATGAATGGATTTAAATTTTTATTGTTTTCATTGACTTTAGGCTTTAAAATATTTTGTATATTAATTTTATGAATTTGACTTTTATCATCATTATTATAACTATGAGTGAATTGTTTTAAATCAATGGGAATTATTATTGAATTCAAATTAGTTTGAGTCAATTGAGTCCATTTTTGCACCGGTGAGTGAAATCCTGGCGAAACATCTAATGTATCCAATTGTTGCCAAAAGTTATTCAATTTAGACACTCTCTCACTAAATACTCTATCACTGATTAATGTCAATAAAATAAATAAATATAATTTTACCATTGTCAATTAATTTATTTAATGTAATATATAATTTTACACTAAATATAAATACTTAATGCCTATATTTGTTTATATTTGTTTGTATTATCAATGCTAATATTAATAAAAATATTTAGGTCACTATATTTTAGTAAATGTATTGTAATAATTAAATAATGTTAGTTAATTTTTTTAACTTTAATTATTATTTATTAACAACATTTTATTGTTTTATTATATTTTAATTAAAATATTGTTTTATTATTAAGATTAAAAAAATAAAATTATCCTAAATAAAAATTTATTAATTAAAACTAATCATTATTACAAATAGTATATTATTTGTTTTAAATATATTAGTTTGATTAAAAATTTTATAAATTTTTTTACTTCAATTAAGTATTTGAAATATTTGAATATATTAATAGAAAACATATAATCAATTTGTATGACTTTAGAGTGGAAGAGGTGGTCGACACTAAACTAAACATTTTTCTCACAATTGATTATAACATTGACCTTTAATTTATACATTTTAGTGGCAATACTTACAAATCAACTTTTCATAAACTTATTTAATACATGTAATATTATAAAAACATGTTTGATGTAATAATATTATATAATAATTTAATAGATAATAGTTTAACATTTTATAATAATAATATAAAAATAAATAAATAAAATGTGATATTAATAAATTATATACATATTATTTTAATTGTAAGATAATGTATTGTTTATAATGAATTTTATTTATTTCTTAATAATAGTTTGTATTTTAATATGCATTAAAAGTGAATCACTACCGATATTACCTATACTAACAGCAATTGCTGGCAAATCTAGTAATATATTAAATGTTAGTATTGATACATTGGGTTTAGCAAAATGGATGAGTGAATCAGCAAAAATAGGTAAGATTTACAATAATAATCGATATTTAAATGTCAATTTAGAAGTTAAAATAATTATAAAAATAATAAATTTTCATTTCTATAACTATTGTTAGAAAAAAATCGATCCGGTTTTGTAAAGGATTTAATGTATACCGCGTTTTATAAATCAGATCAGAAATACAATGTTATTGTATTTAATTTAAACGAAGAGCATCGGCACCGACTGATAGGCATACAATTTTATGCCAGCGCTGACTATACGGATGGCACTAAGTATGCTATTTGGGTGTTTGAAAGTGGGTTTTTCATCAATAAGGGGGCCAGAGGTTGGAATAACTGGGCTATGATTGGTACTTTCAATAGAAATAAACAAGGTCATATTGTGACTTTTAGAAAAAGATTTAATAATAACAAATTCAATACAAATAAATATAATAATACTATTAATGATAGACTAAATTTTAATAATGAATTTTGTGATATTACAGATTAAATCTAAACTATCTTTAATACATATTATACTTAATTTATAAAATTTATTATCCTATTTGTCATATTTTTACATTTTATTACAATATTATAATTTACACGTATTAGTTTGAATTTATAAATTCAAACGAATACGTGTAGTGAATATTTGATATTTTATGATTAAGTGATTATACTGCAGATTAACTTTTTATTAAATTAATAAATATCAAACAATAATAATAAATGTAAAACAGCTATATTTGCATAATTTACCCTAAATTATAATATTTAAAAAATAGATTAAATTTATTTATTTTCATAATATATATTTTATAAATAAAATAATTATATTAATGTATAATATAAAATGCAAATAAAATAATTATTTATATAATAATTTTCATTAAAAATATATTTGTTTAAATGTACAATTAATTAAATTAATACAAATGAAGTTTATGTTGCTTTTATGGCTAACATTATTTCTTATGAGACAATTTGTAATATTTTGCAATGAAGTTACTGAACCAATATTACCATTAATATCATTGCACGACAACATTGATAATAATGATATTATTGATAACAATGCACTCAATGATATTCAACTAACAATAAATTCAGACAACAAATTTTGGAGTAGCAATTGGTTGTCACCACATCCACCTCCCGTTCCTCCATATATATCAACAAATGAAAATCAAAAGCCAATGTCATCACAAATAAACGCAACTCTTCAACATTCAAATCAATCAGTTATTTTAAAAGACAAACCCAAGATTCATCCTAAACCAGATCCCGAATCATATAATGAATTTAATAATGATTTTGATGATTATGACAGTACTCCTAATAATGATCACATTTATAATCTGAATATAGAAGATGTTGAGCCCAATAAAGATCACGTCTACGAGCCGTTACATAAACCTAGTTTTGATGTCAATTTTGATATCAATTATCAGCCAAACTTTGATTTACATCACAAACCAGAACAAGAGTTTTCGTCAACCATTAAATTAAAAGTAAGTACTTTGAGACCACAACCGATGAGTACAAATAGACCACAAACTGTATCTACAAGAGGAGTCTCTTCAACTACTTTTAGAGTAACCCAACCGCCAACTGATCTAACAATAACTTCTAACAGACCTCTGAAAACTACAAGCAAAACGTCAACAATTTCTGTTGCAATGACTGACACCAGCACTCAGACTATTACTACAACTAGTAGTCCAACTCTTATATCACAAACCAATAAAACTGAAGAAGAAGACCAACAATGGAACCCAATTATCATAAATATGGAAACAGTAGACAAACCGACGACACCGGCAAACATTGATACCATTAGTTCAATATTGGCCTCAGTTTTAGGCAATTCTGGATTTGCATCAATTAATGGCTTAAATCACAAACAAAATGTAAGCGCAAATCCACGTCAAATTCAATCAACTTTATCGCCAAAATTGAAAGATAAAGATAAGTGGCAAAAGATACCGATCAAGACATTAATCCCGACTGCCATACATCCAGATCTACCGATTTAATTATTTTACTAAAATATTGCAATTTATTATTTTATATAAAATAAGAAATTCTAATAATTTAAATAATCTATAAAAGTTAAGATATTTTTTTTAAATATAAAATTATTATTACTTCAAAATTATAATATAGATTTTAAATTTATTAACTATAAGAATCTATTATATAAAATATAAAAATTAATCTAAAAATAACATACACTATAAATTGACAATATTTTTTAAACAATATTTAATAAAAACATATGTTAAATTATTATAAAAAATTAAATATTATGTATTGTACAACTAAATTACTTGAAGTAAATGACATATAAAAACTATACCTTTTTTAAAAAAAAAATATTAAGTAACTTTTAAAAAACTGTAATTTAAAAAATACTAACTTTAAATAATGTGTTTATTGAGTAATATTAAATTACTTGTTTTTACATTACTATTGGTCATTGAACTGACAGTTATATCTGGTTTGCCAAAGAAGAGACCAAACACTGCAAACAATGTGCACAAGGATTGGGCGATTGCTGAGGGAATACCACCACATAGTCATCCAGAATATGAAGAGCCACCATATCTACCGTTTCCCGAATCAGTACGTTTAGTATTTCCTAACCCAAAATTTCCAAATCATTGGATTCCCGAAAGTGAATTAACAACAACAACAACAAAACCAGCTCCGGGATTATAATGATTTTTAATATTGTATTTTTAAAATAACAATATGATTATATAAAAATTTTCATTTAGTTTATTATTAATAATATTATTTTGTTTCAATTAGAATATCATATGAATTAAGTTAAAATATCTTTTGTAAATTATTACGAATATCAAATTGCATTATTAATAAATTTGTAAAAATAAAAATAAATTTTATATTTTAAAACTAACTTTTTTTGTATAAAAATAAAATTAATATATCAAAATAAACATTTAGAATAAATTTTAATAAAAATGTAAAATAAATAATGTATAAATATAATTTTATAGATTTAGTATTACAATTAATTAATTAAATTTATTAAAATCTATAACAATTTCAAAAATTTATAACAATTCTTTTAGATTTTTATTATTAATATTATTTTTCTATAATGAAAATTTATGTTAAATTGTTTTATGTTTGTAAAAATATACAGTATATTATTATTTATTCTATAAACCACAAAAATTGATATTTGACTATTAATAAAAGTAATTTATTTTTTTAGTTTAATTAAACATTTACACACATATACAGTATTATATATATATATATATATATAACTTTATATAACTCAGATGTTTTGAGAAAATATGCTTAAAAATTGCTAAATTAAATGTTTTTTAAAATAATGTAGATTTTATATTTATATTTAGGTCAACCATATTTTGATATCTAGAAAAAAGAAAAAAGTATTTAAACAAATTTCATATTTAATTATTAGTTTCTTTTATTTTTATATACATTACTAAAATAAAAAATATGATATAATTGATAAAAAAAATGTTATATAAAAATACATTACTGTTAGTGCTTGCACTGGTTGTGCAGCACCTGGTAGTTGCTGCCAATGATTTTGGACAGATATTGGCTAATGCTGTAAAAAATCCTCATTTAATCATTGATGAAGTTAAGGGTTGGGCGTCAGCAGAGGGACACAGACCTCATAATACATATCATGAGCCACCGTTCATACCGTACCCAAAACCTGTATCGCCTTTGTTTCCTAACCCAGAATTTCCTAACAATTGGAGACCAGAACCAGAATCACCGCCAACACCACCTCCAACGCCACCTCCAACACTACCAACTCCACCGCCACCAACAATGCCTCCGTCAATGCCACCGGGTATGCCACCAGGTATGCCACCCGGTGCTGAACCTGAATACTGGGGACCGCCTCAACCTGAGTATGGACCGGCACCAGAAACTTGGCAGCCGGCGCCAGAAGCATGGCAACCACCGCCGCTGCCAGTTTCTGTTCCGGAAGGAGGTCCACCGTCAGTCGTTATTGGACCGGTAGCTCCCGTTGCATTAAACCCACAACAACCGCAACAAGCATCCCAACCACCCCAACCATGGGCACCAGTATTTCCTGGTGCAGGAGCACGATGGTTTCCACGTCAACCATAACAATTTAGTTTATTAAAATATTTTTAATTTGTGTATATTAATAAAAAATAATGTTTTTTAATATTTTTGTTGAATAATATTTATTTATTAAAAATTAAGCAAATTATATAATGGTATATATATTGTATACTATAATATTTATATATTTTCTGCTAAATCAATAATTTGTTTTTACTTTGACATGATAAACAAAATAATCTAGCACATATTGATCAGCCGCATTAATATAATGAAACGATACAACTGTATCACTGCAACATTGATGACCCTATAAAATAAATAAATAAATACTAATCAATAATTAAATTACAAATACATACAAATATATACTAATATTAAAATCTGTTTTATTAAATCATAATAATTAACAAATACTTGATGTTGTATTACAGTATATAAGCAAACCTGTTGTAATTTATAAATACTATAATTTTGTAGCCACGCTGCGTCCTTATATATATCAATATTGGGATTAATAAAATGAACCGGTTGAAATGGTATAAACCGACCCCTGGCTAACACATCCCGTGTATCGACAAACTCGACACCCAAACCCTCTAAACAACTGATTGCAAATAAATAACAAATAAAAACACTAATAGAAAATAACATTAAGACAAACCGTCCGATTTCAAGGTCATCAGCACCTGCCTGTGCCTGTGTGTGACAGTGCTTTCGGTCAGTGTTTTGATCGGTCAACTTATCAACCAACCGTTTGATGGCCTCTTTGCTAAATACCTTATTAATGGTAAATATTTTGCTGTAAACTTGTATTGTTTAATATAAATTTAACACTTACATACCCAGGACCTAAAATAAACATAAAAAATAATAATTAGTTAATTTTAAAATTATAAATCTAATAAATACTGACCACCACTTGGATATTGAATGCCTTCGTAAACAAATGGTAAGCAAAAGATAAGTGGGTTGTTGTGGTCATAGCCGGACACCATATATCTAAGATTTTCCATAATAGCATAGGTGTCGTCATCGGCCTTATAAAACCAATCAAACTGATCAAAATAGGTGTTCACTCCATATATAATACCGTTACGATTTTTGCACCACAAATGATTATGATCTTCGCTTTCACACCTCATCTCAATTATTGGATAACTTGGATCCGATTCAGAGCTGACAAAGTAGAGTACATCACACCTCTTACCCCATGTGTCTCTCACAGCATTAGCTCGGTTACGGTTTTTGGGATGAGTCGTAACCATACAGAGCACACGCGGCTTATTATACAATTTACTATTTATATTATAGTAATTGTTAAATAATATGGTTAACAACATAATTATAGCTAAGGCTATAATTACTAATGTTTTTTTATATTTAAAACTAACTGATCTCATACTTTATAAAATATAGTGATTTGAAGTTTAATAAATTATATTTTTAATTAAATAATTTTACTTCAATAGACTATGACAATAGTATTTTTAAATTCATTGTAGTGAATCAAATTGTTAAAAAATAAATTAAATAAATAAACTAACAAATTAATTAAATTCAAATTATTATAATCACAAAATATAAACAATAAATGGCACGTTTCTGATGCAAATTAATTAAGTAAAATAGATTATAGTTATTATAATAATGAATTTTGGCATATTTTTATTATACAACAATACATTTAATTATTAACGCTTATTTACTATCTTTAGTTTAGTATTAACATAATGTTTTAAATAGGCTGTTCATTCAAAGATGCTAAAAAATAGCTTAAAGTCACTATAAAAGTTAGTAAAAGATAAACAAAAATTATTTAGTTTAAAGAAAATTTTACCAATACAATTTTTAAAATGCTTAATTTAATATTTTGATAAAATATCTAATCAAAATACAAGTTGTTTTTATTAAAAATCACTATAATATAACTGCTCTCAATAAAAAAACACAGTTAAAAAACACCAATATTTATTTAATGATAAATCATATACTATTATATATTATGTGATTCACTATGATTCATTGTAATTTATATCTTTTTATTTTAATATAATAGTTTAATTAACATTCAGTATTATTAAATGATTATTAAAAGATGATTATATTAATAATGACTTAAATAGTTATTTTTAGGTAAAATAAAATTTTCTATAAATTTTTATTTTATATAATTTACTCATTATATTGAATATCAGCTTCAAATATATCTAATAACTTTAAATGAAAAGCCTAATTATAAATAAACACCTGAAATACAGTTATATTTCATTATCAATAATATTTTATGATAAAATAAATAATAGTTACTTAATAAAACATTATATCATATTATATCCTACTATTAAATCTAATAAACGTTAATGAAAGTTGACATCAGATGTAATCAACAACAGTTGCATACAAAATGATAAACAATGCATATATAAAACATATATTATTATTAATGTTAAAAAGTTTTATTTTAATAATATTTTTTTACTTTTTAAATGTTAAGATAAGACAACTATTATTAAAAAATAATTCACACAATAATATAGATAATGATGACTATTATGAGACTAGTATTGATTGGAATCGATACCCAATTATATCATTGAATTCAATGAATCGCATATTAGTTTTGTCTGAAGCCAGAAGTGGCTCTTCATTTATAGGTATGTTTGTTGTCATAGATTTTTGTATAATTTTAAAAAATAAATATTAATTATACAATTTTATAGCCGACTTAATCCATCAGAGTTGGCCAACATTTTATTTATTTGAACCATTAATTCATATGAAATATGAAAATATAAGACAAAACTATAGCAATAGTCAGAAAGCGTTAAATGTTTTGACAAAACTATTTAACTGTGATTTCAATCTATTAAATACAAAAAATAAAAATAGTATTATTTGGAAAACTGAAGAGTAATTATTATTATTTTTTGTTATCAAATATACTTTCAATTAAAAAGTTTAATAATAATAAACTGTTTACAGAAATTTAGTAATGAAAAAATATATGAATATCAATAAAACATTATTCTTTGATGAATCAGTCAATAAATTTGTTTGCCAAAGATGTCCAAATAATTTGATAAAATCAATACGGATTAGTGTTGATCAATATCTTCAATTACAACAACAATTTGGTAATTTTGACATATATTTAATACATAATATTGTAATACAGTATTACTAAAACAAAACATAATCTTATCAATCGATACATATCTTTTAATATAATTATAAATTATATATTTAATAGATTATCCAATAAAACTTGTTATTATTGTAAGAGATCCGAGAGGTATTATGAGTTCCCGATTACTGCCATTAATGGATTGGTGTCGGAAGGATATGATAAACAATTGCGGTAACATTCAAGTGCTTTGCGCTCGTATGAGAAATGATATATTGACTGCTCTCAAGGCATACAATGAAATGCCAGGTTTGTTAAGATAAATAAAAATTATTATCTTTTAATTTTTTAAAAATATAAATTATTTCTCATATATAGATCGAATAACAATAGTTAGATATGAAGACCTATCTTTCAATACCATAGAAATAGCAAAGAAATTATACAACAGATTAGGACTAAAATTTACAAAATCGGTTGAATATTGGATTGAAAGCCATACTAATAATAGCAAAACACGTGCCAATCCTTACTCGACAATACGTGACTCAAAACAAACAGTCCTCTCATGGATTAAGAGACTAACGGCTCAACAAATCGACAAAATTCAAAGTCATTGCACAGAAGTTATGGATTATTTAGGCTATAATTTAATTGATACAAATAATTATAAACAATTGAAAAATAATTTTTCAATTAATAACATTTTAAACAATCATTTTACATTAGATTATATGACAATCAAAATTGATGAAAGTTAGATTTTTTTAAATAAATAAAATTAAATCGAAACTAATAAATATTAATCTATATATTAGATCATCCTAACTGTTATCAATGTATATTGAGTTTTTTTTTATAAAAATATATTATTTTTAAATTTTGAATTTAACTTTTAAATATTTTATTCAAAGTAATGATTTTGTTATACATTTAAAAGATATATTGAAGATTTACAGATTTTATTAAGCGCAGGAATTATATATACCAATAACTTATTGTACTGTCGAAAAAAATTTAATTTAAATGTTTTTAAGTATGTTTTTATTAAATAATTTATATTAAATAATTAGTATTTATTTCATTATGAATTTCGATATATTAAATTTCGATAATGCTTAGTTATTTGATGTATTGGTGAAGTAAAAACATAAAAGTATAAAATGTAAATTATAGTCAATTATATAGGCATTAAACTCAAAGAGTGAATCCATAAATAAATTGGTAGCTATTTAATAGACAAATAATATATAAAAAGTGAAATATTTGAATAATTGACATAAAAATTTAATTAAAGTCTATTTGTTAATTTAATCAGGATTTAGTTTTAGTGAAATATTTTTATATTTAGCTATTTTCAAATGCAATATAAGAGGTATTTATAACTTACACATAAATTAAAACATTTTAATGTAATTTATAAAATATATAATTTTTACTAAACACAATTTTAATTTTGAATTAAATATTTATTATAATAGTAATAATAATGACAAAATTTGCAAATTATGAAATAAAATTGCATTATTTATTTTGTCATTATGTTATTCAATTAAAAATCTTTTAACCCAAAATCTATTAAAAATTTATTATTTGTTAATTTAAAAAATTAAACTTAATATTGAAAATATGTTTCAAAATACAGTGCAAAATACTCATTAGACATCAAACATATGCTTTAACAACTACTTATGATTTTATTACTGATTCACATCTCATTTATTTTGTTTTCAATACATTTGCATTCATTAATGATATCATATTTTAATCGGTATATAAATTGAATTACATTTTATGTATTATAGAAAATCTTACGAAAATCCAGACTCTGAGTGATAAAATAAATTAATAATTATAAATAGCAATTATAACAATGAAACTTATTATTATTATTATTTTATTGACTTATGTGTCACTCGAGTCGGTTGAGGGCTGGTCTGTCAGACAAATCTATAATCAACCTGAAGAAGGTATGGCATTAGTAATACAATATTACTGTCATTATTATATTTATTAATGGCTTAACAATTAGCTAAAAGTATAATAATAATAATAATAATAACATATATATTGATTTAATAGTTATCAGTGACAAAGAGTTGGATGAGGCAGAGGTGATGGCAGTAACGCTATCAACGACCAAAAAACCGTCCAAAACTAAAAAGCCACCGAAAAGTCCATCAATCAAACCGGTCAAACTTCCGGCCGATAGACCACAAAATACTGGAAAACCAGCAAAAGGTACCCCAAAACCAAAGCCAGGAAAAAATCAACAAAAACCTACCAAACAATCCAATAAACCAGTGAAGGCTTCCACTAATAATCCAGGAAAAGCCTCGTCAACCAAAAAATCTAAAGTACCGCCAAATAAGTGGGGACAGCCTAATCAAAATAATCTCAATAATAAATCCACTAAAAAACCATTTGTTTTAGATTTGACCGAAAACTTTATACCATAAGATCACCAATTTTTAAAACAAATCTTATAAGTATTCACTAATAAATCATTCATTTGTTTTACATTGTATTTCTTCATAATTAATATAATTTAATAAAAAAATTACAAAAATAATATCTAACTATAATAAAATTATTTAATATTTGCTTTATAATATGACATAAAACCAATTTCATAATTTGATTATTTATGACAATATAACTTATTTGAAAAACATATGTTTATTTACACAATATTTATTCAAAGTTAATCTTTTATAATATTATATATAAATTATATATTTATTATACCTCTTAATAATTTTATAAATTATAAGTAACCAGTAAATATATTTTTAAAACTAATAAATAAAATAAATATTGACATATAAAATATTAATATACAAAATATTATTACTCATATTATACTTTTTTAATAGACTATATTTTTAATATTTTTAAAATCGGATACATAAGCATAATTTTTAATAATTTTATTTAAAAAAGTAAGTTAAGTAAACTTGTTTAATAAAATATCTTTTATTATTATGAATAAAATTATCACAATATTTGTTTAAACACTCTATTAGATAAGTAGTCTAACGGATAATGGTTTGTAAGTAATTGATTCAAATGATATTTTTTTTGGTCATATTTTTTATCAATAGAAAAGTCAATCAATTTATAGCCCAAATTTTTCATGACATCCGAGCATTCATTTTGTATTTTAATAATCATTGTTTTATTTAGTCGTTTAGTCCACTGAAAGGCCGCTTTATATGAGTCTCTAATACCTGAGTGAGGATTATCTCTGTTTTTATCACGAGTCGTGTGGTTTTTGATCCATGTTTTGACTTTAAAGTTGTGCTTAATATTCAGAAAATTAAATAATTGTTTGGATTTTATTTGGACATCAGTTGATAGCTCTTCATAGCGAACTAACACTATATCCTCTATTAATACATGAAATACAATAATTAATATTTAATAAAAATTTATAAATGTCTGTCAATTACTGGCTATACGAGAGTTTTGTTTCAAATCAAGCAATTGATTGATATTTAGTCTCATTAGTCGACACAAAGTTGTAATGTTTTTGCAGTGTTTTGCTGTACACCAGACAAGATTCGGGTCATACCTTGAAGCCATTGTGCCTCTGGGATCCCTGACCAACATAACCAACTTTATTTGTGAAACTGCAAATGTTATGTATATAATTTTAAAATTTATTATTTTATTATGATATATGATATATACTATATAATCGGTGGTATATATAAAATTACTTATTTTTTTATTATAAACTATATTTTTTAATATTACTTGTTATTCTTAATTTTTTTAACTTTAATTTGATTTTGAATTGATTTTTAGACACTATATAATTGAATGAATACTAAACCAGATTTTTTATAGAGTGATAAATAGTGGTCAACACCAGCGCGAAGTGCTTTTACAAGACTTGTCTGACATTTATTGCAAATATCGAGTCTATATATTCATTATTATTATTATAATTATATATTATTTTTATTTTTGTTAATAAATGTTTAAATTATTAATATAATACAAACCGTTCAGTTTTATTATGGCCTCTCATCATTAAATTACTGAAATATATTTATATTTATTTAATTTTGTTTTATATTTATTATAAAAATATTATAATTACGTAAATTCATTCCAAAATGGTTGAACCGATAAATTATCAAAATGACAATTAAATAATTTTTGTAATGAATTGACAACTGTTTGAAACAATCGTTTGTTTTCACGTGAATTATAATAACGCAATTGATGTAATGGTTCGTAGATATAAAATAATTGACCACTTTGTTGTATTAAATTTGCTATATTTTATTATAAAAATTATCTAAAATCATTAATAACTATCTAATTTATACTATTTATACACTAAATATCTAAAAATTAAGTATAATTATTAATCTAAATTATATTAAATTGTTTACTTGAATATAATTATTTTTGTAAAAATAACTACATTTATAATTTTATATAATTTTTAGATATTTAATGCACATATAGTTATTAATTAGTATAAAAACTTACCCAAAAATGAAGAGCCACTTCTGGGTTCAGAAAGTATTAAAATTTTATTTCGTTGTTTTGCCGAAAATTCAGATATATTTTGCCATTCATTTGAATAACTTTTTTCAAATACTACTAATTTTTTATATTTATTAATTTCCCCAATAAATGATTTATCGTAGATATATCTGTCATTAATTACATTTAATTGTTGGCCATCACTGATATTTTTGGTTTTATTATGTTTCAAATATATTAAACCAATTGTGATTATTATAAATAATAATAAAAATATTATATAGATTTTCGAAAAGTTTTTACTCATTATTTTTAGTATTTTTATTAAGTATTATTTATTTAATATTATGATTAATTAAAAAATATATAAATTATATTATAACTTATTATAAATAAAAACATATGTTATTTATAATGAGATTGTAAAGTATATTTTATCAATCATTTATCAAATACACATTTTAAAACTTGTTTAATGACTTGTATTGTACACTGTTTTGCCTACTGTATAGTACAATACATATTTTAACAGTTTTTATAATGATTTTTTATAGTCTAAATATAATATACAAAATTTTAATAAATTATATATAATTTTTTTAAATAAAAGAGATAAATAAATATTATGATAAATTATTGATAATTAATAAATATGAAGTTTACTAATATACTAAAATATAAGTATATAATACTGAATATACAATACAAATAAAGATTAAATTAATTACTAGTAATCATATATTAAATGTTAAAAATACTAATAAATGTATCTAATTATAACTATAATTTAAAATAATATGATCAAAATATCTATAGATTAGAAAAAATAAAAAATAAAATAAAAATAAGTTTTTATAAATAATTAGAAATTAATAAACTTTAGATATAGCTGTTAATGATTTTCTCATATTTTTATTGAGAATATCATTATATTTAGTAATAAGTGGATCATAAATGGCACACTTTCTCAAGTCAGTGTCCGTACAATTTGTTGGTTTATGAATACCCGGTCTGTAATGTAATAGATAACCAAATTGTTTGTCAACAAAATGTATGGGACAGTCCTTATAGTCTTTATTGATAATACATTGAAGTGGTGTGTGATTCCACACGACTTTTGCATTTTTGGTTAATTGAAAACTTTTTGGTGCACTCATTGTAAAGTTTGCCCGATATAAGTGTCTCATTGTATACATAATATCATTAGTAGTGTATTGATTGGATATTAATTGATTGTAAAATCTTGTTTGTGTGAACAGATATGATGCAAATCTGTCCCAATTTGACCGTTTCTTTAGTGAATTCTACAAAAATATTTATTTAATTATTAAAAAATTTATAATTATATCAAAAAGTTATGTCTTACATATATTTGGTCCATCATTTGTGGCCAATCATAAGCATCTAAGGGAACAATTACTTCATCGATGTCGATGACCGCCAAAAACGTGTGTTTATACATATTTCTATAAAAGCAGTCATTCAACTCCAGTGTCTCCTGTGGTAGCATTTTGTCACCCATTTTGCTCATATATACTTCATTAAGATAAATATTATTTAATTGATGGCCACAATGTGTTGTATATCTCCATTCAATAAATTTCTACAATTCATAATAATTAATTCATTTTTGTATTAATTTTCTAAAATAAAAATATATAGTATTTACCAAATTAGTATAATAATTGAGTACTTTATCCATATAATTATTAGTAGTAAATGCATACAAATAGACTTTATTAGCTCCTAATATCTTTTGCAATTCAAGCCATTCAATAAGTCTAACACTAAAATCTATGTTATAGTAATATAAAGCGCGAACACAGACACCAAATAATGTCTTATTTCCCGACTCTGGTCTCTCATATATGACACGTAAATAATTTGTAAATTCAGATTTGCATTGATTATTAATTTTAATGGCCACAGCACTGGGTACCATATTTTTAATAGATATGGGAATATCGCAGGACAACAAAGTTGGCAAATAATATCCTTTCCTTTTATAATAGTTACCAAAATTGTAGGCCAACTCATCAATTTGTGTGACTTTGCTTAAAACAGCACGTTTTTTGCCCTCAAAATATAGTAAACACCTATAGAGTATTCAAACAAGTATTTACATGTATAATATAATATTCACTAAATGTTTTAATAATTGCTGTATAATTTAATTAAAGATAATTAGCATAAATACCAAAATGTTTGATTGACTAACTGTGCGAAATGATCGGTCACTCCAATGATTCTAACTTTTGTCATATTTTCTCGATTATCATAATAAGCATTATATGCATAATATGTTGTATTTTGATCGATGATCACTGATTGCCAATAAATGTTATTAAAAGCAATTTTCTCAATAGATGGTGGATATTTGTAACATGTTTTCAATGAATATTTGGACCAATCATTATCACTATTAATCTTTGAATAGTTTGTCGTCCATCTGATCCAATAATTTAAGGCAACATTTGTCTCATTTTCATATAATTTATAGATTTCATTAATATTAACAGTAGTATTAATATTAATATTACTAGTATTATTATTATTATTATATTTATTTTGGATAATATTAGCAATGTAATCACCAGGATCATTAATAATTCGATGATTTTTATTAGTCATAAATAATTTGATACTATTTTGTCCCAAATAATATTCACACCAACAAAACACTATAATCATAAGTATTATTAATAAAAATATTATTTTTAGTGCAAATTTATTTGTCGTTACAATTAAATCATTTCTTGACATTTCGCATTGCATTTAATATTGCATATTATTAATTAAATTGTATTAAAATGTTATTAACTGAACAGTATTTTTCTAAATCATGTTTACAAAATACTTAACATTTATTATAGTTTGGTTTACTATAATTAAAGTACTGTATAGCAGTCTGCAATATTATATAATAATTGACACATCTGTCTAAATTGAATTAAAAATATATGTATAACTGAAAATTATTACTGATTTAAAGCTAAAGTCAAACTTATTTAACATTTTGTTAGTCTAATAATAATGAAAATTTTCTTAAAATTGAAATTAATATCATATTTAATTTTATTAATAACTGTTTTTGTAATAATAATAATACAATTTTTGTAAGTATTATTATACTAAATATTGATTTTAGTAAAATATTTTTATATATTTATTAACTTTTATTTGATTTATGAATAGTACTGTAAATATTATAGATTTATATGGTTGTCGACCACATGTTAACGTTGTGTTTATGAAAACCCATAAAACTGGCAGTACTTGCATACAGAATATATTCTTGAGATATAGTGATTCACACGATTTGCTTATAGCTGTTCCCATAACTAATGGATACTTTGGTCATCCGGATCTGTTTCGCAGACAATTTGTTCCAAAATTAAAAGCAAATATTTCTTATAATATGATTGCAAGTCATATGAGATTCAATTATGAAGAGCTAAAAGCAATGATGTCATTGAATACTAAATTTGTAACAATTTTGAGACATCCAAACACATTGTTTGAATCGGTGTATAGCTATTATAATCTAAAACTTTTATTTAATGTAACTTACGATGATTTTTTGAAATACTTGTACACAAACACAACAAATGGCAAAAATATCAGAATTAATTCAAGACTACATCAAAGATTTGGCAGAAATCAAATGTCTTTTGATTTGGGATTAAATGTAACACAATTTGAAAATAATATAACAATCAATAAATTTATTGATAAATTAGAGAAACATTTTGATTTAGTTTTGATTAACGAAAGAATGGATGAAAGTTTGATATTATTGAGACAAGAGTTGTGTTGGACTCTAAACGATGTCATTGTCTTCAAATTAAATGCTAGAAAAGATTATATCAAACAAAAAAGTTATTCAAACAAATCAAATAATAAATATAATTATAAACTAAAACAATTGAATAATGTCGATCATATACTATATAATCACTTTTATGAAATTTTTGATAAAAAAATTAATGATTTTGGTCTGAATCGTATGAAAAATGAATTAATCATATTTCGCAAAGAAACTGATAATCTGTATAATGAATGTATTGATAAAAATGTCTTATTATCTGATTTACTGCCAAAACATCTCTATTACTCACCACATGTTAAGAGATTAAAACCAAAATCTCATTCAAGAAATATATGTCGACAAATGACAGCAATTGAAAACTTTTATTTGGATATTATAAGACAAAAACAAACCATTTTTTATGAAAATAATTTACGAAAAGATTTAGACATTGCAAATGAAAACTTGAGAATTGAAAATATGTATAAAATACTAGAATAATAAAAAATAATTAATTTGATTTGTTAATGATTTTGTATTATATTAAAATTAGTATAATTTTAAATCATATTTGTAAAAATTATAAATAATGATATATATTATATTGAATACAATGTAAATTATAAAATATCTAAGAGATAACATATATCTATGTTTATTTTTTTTATTATGTATCAATATTTATTAAAATTATTATATACAATTTATTAGTGATTTAGGTTGTAGGATTAATTTATATTAATAAAACATTATCAATAATAATTGTCAATTAGTAATTGATTTTTAATAGTTTATATCATGTATATAAATTTATGATAATATTTTTTGTATGACAGATACTATACTGTATTTTATGATAATTTCAATCAATAGTAAATATTATAAATATCTGTAAAGTTATAAAACAAAACAAAAAATCAGTTAAAATTTTTATTTATAGTACAAATAAAAAATTTAATATTATTTTTAATATTGTATTTAGGGTTTGTAATGATTCCATTCCTCGTCTTATTTCCAAAAGTTCCTTATATTCCCTTTTCTCTGGGAATTCAGAGGCAATCTATTTCCTAATGCTATCACCTATTGAACAATAAACAACACCTCTAATTATAATGTTTGAAAAACAAATGTTAAACTCTATTTTGAGTTGTATTGATAAATAATATCACTAAATTTATTGATTGAAATTGATTTTTAATTTTTTAAATGAAAATTTACTTACTTTTGGCACTATTTATTGTAATAATATAAATTATATTTTCTCTTCTAACAAGATAGGTAGGGAAAATAAATATTTTCCGGAAAATTTGTAGGGATTTTATTAGGGAACTTTCCATCCTTGGAATCATTACAAGTCCTAATTGTATTATAGTATCATTTTGTTGAATATTTTCTTTTACCATCTTTTACCAAATTATTTATCTTTATTTTACCATGTTAATTATTTGTTTTAAACAATGTTCAATTGATTTGATTATGCAAAATTAAGACCTGGAACTTTTGCGGGAACTTTCCTAAAATATTTTGATATAATTACACTTTTATCATACCCTAGTATCGAACCAATCTAATAGTTTATATAAAATATCGTGTGATATAATTTATTTATAGTTTAGCACTTTAGTAAAAATTTAAATTGTCATTTGTTAATGAAAAGTAAAGTATTAAAAATTACTTAATTTATTAATAAAGCTGTTATTTTTAAGTAATTATTGGAAATGTCTGAATCAGCTAAAGACAAGTCCAGTGTTAAACATATCGCCGATATAGTGGGTGAATGGGGTAAATGGCAGTTTCATTTTGTTGCCTATTGTTTCATATTATGGTCATTTGCTGCCATAAACAATATGGGCTACAGTTTTCATGCCTACAATAATGATTTTTGGTGTAGTGATGTTCCCATTGATTATCTGGTATACAATTTATATATATATATATATATATATATATATATATATATATATATATATATATTTAAAAAATTAGTTGTAATTAAGCAATAATTTTAAAAATTAATTAATTAGAATAAAACTGAAGATATGAAATGTTTTAAGTTTTTGTCACCCAATGAGAGCTGCACTGAATGGCAATACGATAGGACACAGTTTGGTAACTCTATTATAACTGAAGTATTTATTTGTAAAAATGAAATTTTAATATTAATTAAATTATAATATTAATTATTTTTAAAAGTTTGATTTAGTGTGTAGTCGATCAAACTTTGCTTCAATATCTCAAACTTTATTTATGTTGGGATACGTAGTATCGGGTCTGGTGTTTGCCCATTACTCCGATAAATATGGCAGACGTCCCATAGTATGGCTGTCCTTTTCAATTGAAATTTTCGGCATATTATTGTGTGCTCTGTCAACAAATATTTATTTTTATTCATTTGCAAGATTTTTAGTAGGAATGGGTAGCTCTGGTCGAGGAATGACTATATATATAATTAGTTTGTATATATGTTATATAAATCTATAAAAACTTAATTATTTATTTTTTTTAAAGTGCTTGAATGCATTGGCTCTAAATATCGGTCAGATGTTAGTCTATTAGGAGGAGTTGGCTGGCTTTTAGGCTACGCAAGTATACCCGGACTGGCCTATTGGCTACAAGATTATAAATATCTACAATTAATATCATTGGTTCCATTATCTACAATGTTTATCTGGTTTTATTGGTTTTACGAATCACCCCGTTGGCAGATAACTGTTGGACAGTTAGATAAAGCAGAGGTAACACTGAAAAACGCATTGAAATTAAATGGTAAAAGCGATGTAAATCTAAAGCAAAATTTAAATGAATTGTCAGCATATCTTAAAAAGGTTTGTCAAATATTTAATTTGTAAAACAAAATTTGTATTTTACAAACAAACAAAAACAAATAAAAAAAATTAAAATCAAGACCCAAACAGAGGGCGAATCTCAAAGAAATTACACGGCTTTGGATTTAGTTAAGACACCACTTCTCCGTAAAATAAGTTTTATATTGTGGTATACATGGATTGTTGAAGCACTTCTCTATTATGGCTTCAGTTTAAATATAGGTGACTTTGGCGGCAATTTTTACATAACGTTCCTATTGTCAGGACTGGTAGAACTGCCGTCACAGATATTGTGTGTATTTCTACTCCGAGTTATGGGTCGCCGAACTCTATTCTCACTATTTTTGTTTATGACGAGCGCCTCATGTTTTGCAATCATCCCTTCCCAGTCTGATTGGCTTAAAGTTACTTTTGCATTGATGGCAAAGTTTGGTGTCAACAGTGCCTGGAATGTTATGGCTATTCACGGACCTGAACTCTATCCAACTGTCCTCAGACAACGAGGACAGGGAATGGCATCGGTTTTCTCTAGGATTGGTTCTATTAGTTCTCCTTTTATGAGAAATTTGGTATATTTTATCATTATTTAGAAAATATATCAAACATTTTATTTAATTGATTTCACACATAGGCTGCAAACACTAGTCTAGCGGTGGTTATGATATTGTATGGTTTACTTTCATTAGTCAGTGCACTATTGGTATTACTTTTACCAGAAACTAAAGGACGCGAAATACCCGATACTATAGAAGAGGCGGAAAATGTCTTAAATTTAAAAATTAATAAAAATAAGAAATAATAGTAATTAAAATTATTAGATTTTATAAAAAAATATTTATAATAAAATAAATTTTTAATTTATTAAATTTTGTGTACTACTATTTTTGATTACTAGTTTAGATTACTGTACAAGCCTAAATTGATTAAATTATGTTTTATTTATTATCAAGGTTGTCAAATGTCAATTTTTTTATTAAAATATCAAAACTACATTAATCTCACACATTAATTACTTGTAGTACTTTAAGTTAATATATGTTTAACATAAACATGAGATTTCAATAATCATTCAATAAATAAATAATTGATTGTACAGGGTAATACCAAATTAACGATCAATTAAGTCTTAGTGTTTTACTTGTGTGATCAATAGACATATCAATTTTAGTAAATTATATGTAAATTATAATATAAATTACAAATAGATTTTTATTTTGTGTTTGACTTAAATATTAATATATAATTTATAAAAATATAGTTAGTTTTCCTGTCTCTATTATTAATTCACCCTGTATAAAATTGCATCTTTATCTTTGTAAAAGTTTCAATGTTAATACAATAAAAATATATTGATATATTTGAATAACTTTTCAACATATTTGGAAAAAATATTTTCATTTACTAATAAATGTAATCTAATGTAATAGTTAAGCAAATAGTAAAAAATGGCAAAACCTGTTGACCAAACCAAACATTTAGCCGATATAGTGGGTGAATGGGGTAAATGGCAGTTTCAATTGGTCAGTTATGTTTTTATGTTGACAGCCGTCTCAGCATTTATTAATATTGGTTATAGTTTTCATGCAAAAACTGTAGACTACTGGTGTCACGATGTGCCTCATAATTATACAGTAATATAATCAAAATAAATAAATAGTTTTTTTATATTTATGTCTTTTTTGTTTTTAAAATATATAACTATTTTATTTCAGAATATAACAGAAGAAATGAAATGCCATTCATTTGTTAATCCGACTGAACGGTGCACTCAATGGCATTATAATAGGACTCAGTTTTATAAGTCAATAATTATTGAAGTAAACATACAGTTAATATTTTTATTAGCAAATTATTTTTATTAAATTGATAATTAAAAAATAGTTTGATTTAGTGTGCGATCGTTCATATTATGCATCGCTAACACAATCAATGTTTATGATGGGATATGTAATCGCGGGTATCATAGTATCCTATTGTAGTGATAAATATGGCCGCAAACCGGTTGCATTGATTTGCTATACAATTGAGGTGTTGGGTCTTATTTCGTGTACATTTTCATACAATATTTATCAGTATATGATTTCCCGTATGTTTGTTGGTTTAGCACATTCAGGAGGCGGTTGGAGTATATTTACCATTTGTGAGTATTGTTACAAATTGTTGTTTTGTTTATTTAATTAAAATACTAAAAATAATTATTTAAATAGTACTTGAATGTTGTGGTCCTAAACATCGATCAGATATAGTATTGCTTACGGGTATCGGTTGGGTAGTGGGTTATATGATTTTACCGGGTATTGCATACCTAATACAAGACTTTCGTTATTTGACATTCATATCAACCATTCCCATGATGTTAATGTTAGTATGGCTTTACTTTATGCATGAATCGCCGCGTTGGCAGTTAGCTAACGGACAGTTGGATAAAGCAGAGGTTAATATTGCAAAGGCATTGAAAATGAATAGAAAAAGTACTGATAATCTACGGCAACAAATCAATCAAATAGCAGATACTATACGAAAATCGGTATTAATTGTTGTTATTTTATAATTATTTTTATTAATTAAAATTAATATTATCATAAAATAGGAATCTAAAAATGGTGGCAAACGTATTAATTTGTTAGATTTGTTTAAAACTCCAAATATACGCAAATATACATTTATATTATGGTACCAAAACATGGTTAATGCACTAATTTATTATGGACTAAGTTTTAATATGGTTGACTTTGGCGGCAATTTCTATATAACTTTTTTATTGTCAGGACTGGTAGAGTTACCGTCACAGCTATTGACACCACTTTTATTAAGATTTATTGGTCGCCGAAAACTGTTTGCATTATTTATGCTAATAGTATCGGTCTCTTGTATTGCTGTAATACCAGCGACCAGTTCATGGCTTAAAGTATTACTGGCTTTAATAAGCAAGTTTGCCATTAGTACCTCATGGAGTATTGTTGCCATTCATGGCAATGAAATCTATCCCACAGTTATTAGAGTTACCGGTAATGGTGTCGCATCAGTAGTCACACGAATCGGATCTATTAGTGCACCGTTTATGGGGAATCTGGTAATAATATTTCTATAGTAAAACATATTAAATAATTTATAAAATATTTTTTATTTAATTAAAATTAGACACTGAAAACTAGTTTGGCATTTGTTATGATAATTTATGCCATACTCAGTACTGTCGGCGCTATACTCGGCTTGTATTTACCGGAAACTAAAGACAGAGAAGTGCCCGACACTATAGAAGACGCAGAAAATTTGGGCAAAACTATCTCAAAACACACTAAAAATAATATTACATAATATTATAATTGTTTAGATTATAGGTTTTTTGAGATTATTATTATTAGTATTAGTTAATAAAGTAATATGATATATAATGTAATCAATAAAGTCAATTATAAAAAATGGTCTAATTAAATGTTAATTGTTTACATTTACTGTCAATATGTCAATAATTTATCAATTTATATAAACAATATAATGTAAAATCATAAATTAGAGTTGATTGATTTTAATATATATATATTTAAAAATTATATAATAAATATAAATTCATGATTACTTAATGAATAAAATTGTAGATTATTAAACAAAATTAATTTCATGTGAAATTTGTATTTTAAATTTTAATTTTTAATTTATACAAGAATTATGGTGTCAACTGAAAGTGATCCAAAACATTTGGCCGATTTGGTGGGTCAATGGGGTCGCTGGCAGTTTCAATTGGCTGCTTATATATTTTTATATGAATCTGTTTCTGCATATATCAGTATGGGTTATAATTTTCACGCCATGAATGTCGACTACTGGTGCGCTGATGTTCCCGCAAATGAAATCAATAAAGTATTTCATATAATTATATATTTGTAGAATAAATATTTTATAATTTTTTTAATCATTATTTTAAGAACATAACTAATGATATTACCTGTAATTCATATACAAATCCCAATGAGAGTTGTACTCAATGGCAATACAATAAAACTCAATTTTATAAATCAATTATCACTGAAGTAAGCGAGAAATTTATTTTTTATTTTAATTAATATTAATTAAAAAAAATATTAAAATGAAGTTTGATTTGGTATGCGATCGTCAATACTTTGCATCTCTCACACAATCAATGTTTATGTTTGGATACGTGGGTTCGGGACTAATACTATCTCATTATTCCGATATTTATGGCCGAAGACCAATACTATGGTTGTGCTATATATTAGAATTATTGGCATTGATTTCGTGTGCCTTTTCATATAATATATATCAATATATGATATCCCGTTTGATCGTTGGTTTGGGTCACGCGGGAGGACTTTCTATTGTCTATGCAATATGTAATACATTAAACCAATTAAAGTTTTAAAAATATTTTTTAATTTTTAACTAATATTTTTAGTATTAGAAAGCTGTGGTCCCAAATATCGGTCAGACGCTATACTATTGTGTTATATCGGTTGGGTATTAGGTTATGTACTTTTGCCTGGATTTGCATATTTATTGCAGGATTTTCGTTATATGACAATTACATCAATACTACTGTTGCTATTAATTTTAATTTGGTTTTACTTTCTATACGAGTCTCCGCGCTGGCAGTTAGCTAATGGACAGTTAGATAAAGCAGAGATTACTATACAAAAAGCAATGAAAACTAATGGCAAAAATGACAAAAATTTAAGACAAAAAATCAATCAAATTGCTAATCATATACGGGAATCGGTATTATTTTTAAAATATTTTATTTGCTTTTTTATTATTACTTCATTATTAAATTATAGGAGTCAAATAATAATAGCAAAAATCTAAATATAATTGATATATTGAAAGTTGCATTATTACGCAAATATACATTTATAATATGGTATTCGTCTATCACTAACTCTTTAATATACTTTGGATTCAGTTATAATATGGCCGACTTTGGCGGCAATTTTTACATATCTTTCCTATTGTCAGGACTGGTAGAGTTGCCGTCACAGTTAGTGACACCACTTTTATTAAGATTTATTGGTCGTCGAAAACTTAGCGCAATGTTTATGATATTAGTAACCATTTCTTGTATTGCTGTTATTCCGGCCAAAAGTTCATTTCTTAAGATAGTTTTAGCACTGATAGGAAAGTTTGCCATAACTGCCGGATGGTCTGTTCAGGCACTTATGTGTACTGAAATATATCCAACAGTTGTGAGAAATACAGGTTCTGGAGCTTCACAAGTGATTGGACAGATCGGATCAATTAGTTCACCTTTTATCGGAAATCTGGTAAGCATTGAATATTGTGATTAAAATTATAATTTTATTTAAAATTAAAAATAATTTTTTTATGCTTTAAATAGATAATAAAAACGAGCCTATCATTTGTAATGGTTGTTTATGCTGTCCTCAGTACACTCAGTGYTGTACTCACTCTTTATTTACCCGAAACTAAAGATAACGAAATACCCGACACTTTAGAAGATGTAGAAAAATTAGGCACTTCTATGAAAAAATAAATTGTTATTAATATTAAAATAATAATAAAATAGTAATAGTTATCTTAAAAGTAATTATTACATATATAATTTTTATATCTTTAAATGTTAATTATTATTTATTTTTAAAATTTTAGTCAAAATAAAATAAATATTAAACAATTAAGAATACTTATTAACAATATTTAAGAATTAGTTGAGTTTAAATATTTAAAAAAAATAATTAGTATGTAAGATATACAGCATTTTTTTATTTTACAAAAATTAAAAGTTGCATAACTACCCTTAGCCGGTGGCCGATTAAAATTAATTTTTATATTTAAGTAGTTTAATATCTATAGTTTTATATAGTATCAGTTATTTTTATGGATAAATCAGTTAAGGTGATAACACTGGACATCAATGGTCACCCGTTTAACTCACACGCATACCAATGCTTTTAGCATTACATATACAATACATATAGCATTACTTTTAACACTTTAATACTACATATGCATAGCAATGCTTTTAACACATATTTAATTTTATTGTTTAATTTTACTATATATACATATACTGTATACATACACATTACTTACATTACAAATATAACTAACCTTTATATCAATTATCCTTTATATCAGTACATCAAATATATCCTAATGTATAACCATTTATATTATTTTATTATATTAATGCATTTATTTTATTTTAAGTCTAATTTTAATTTTATCGGCTTTTATTGCCATATATTGTATTGCATATAATATATGCAAACTCATGTTAATTAAACATAGTGTCCACTAATATATGTCACTTTATATATATATAGTTAGTTATTGAAGTCACGCACTTCAGTGTTGAGAAAGTGGTCCTAAAGCACACATCAATTGTCACTACACTTATGTTAACTCTTCACTCATTTAATCAGTTAATAATAATTTAATGTATTTTAATTTTAATGAATTTATAAATAAAGTTATTTTAAATATCATCAAAACACGACTGCAATTATTTTATTAAAACCTAATCTTTTACAAGTATTACATTAATATTCATCTAAATATAACAATATTTAAATAAACATTTATAACAGAATAACTTAAAAATGATTTATTTATTTATAAAAAAAAATATGTTATAATTAAAATAATATTTTAAGACAATTAATATATTGTAATAATAATAAATTATAATTATTTAATCATTCTTACTTGTATTTTAGTCAGATTTACTTTTAATTTTTATAAGTTTAATTAAAAATTTATGAATTTAAGAAAATATTCTAAAATTTAAGAAAATTATTGACGATATTTTCCTGCTTTTCTGGGAATTTCATCCCATTTTCTCTTAACCCATCCTTGATTTTGAAATTGTGAAAAATAGTTTTTCAAAAATGCAATATAATATATTCAATAATAAAAGTAAATCCCTACTCTATACACCCCAAAAATTTTCCATATTTTTTCTTTTTCATTTTTCTTTTGAAAATTTATATAAAACATTGTTTTTTAATATAAGAAAAAATTATAATTTCTCATTTTATTTGTGCTTGTTTGTATGTGCAATTTAATTTTATAGTCTAATTTTAATTACTGATACAGTATGCAATATACAGTATAACCAGTTTACAGTTAAATATTTTATTAAAAAGATATTGTATTTATACATATAATTTAAAATTAATTTTTTATAATATATAAATTACATGTACAATATTGTATATATACGTTTTTAATTAAAATAGTTAGATATCTAATAATTAATCATTTTAATTTGTAATTAATTTAGAAATACCAATAAATTAACTTATATTATATTTATTTACATTAATTTAATTCATAATAAAACTATTAAACTGAAAGTAACATTAAATATGATTTTTATTAGATTATTAAATTAGGTGTAATTTTATCGTTAAATATCTATTTGTCTCGGTTATAGTCACAAAATATAAACTTATACCTTAAATGTCAATATTTCGACACATTTTAAATTAAATTTTTAATGTTATTAAACTACTATATTTGTACATTAACTAAAAATACTTTACTTATTTACTTTTGATTATTGCTTAACAGCATTTAAAATATATCACAACTATGTAATGGTATTATGTATTTCTAAATATATTATAGATTAGATTTATTATTAGTGGGTCAATATTAATAGATTATAATTATTAAAGTATATACAGTAATTTTTTTATTTTATGATATTTATTTAAAAAATTAATTACAACTTATTAAATAATTTACAGATATAACAACTAAATATATAATAACATAAAAAAATATATTAAAATAATACAATGTATGATAAATTACAATAATATCTTACGTCTTATATATTTAGCAAATAGATTATAAAAAATATAATTATACATTAATAGATTGTGGTAATTGATCAAGGTAACCAGATGATTCAAATGCATTTCTATCGGCTAATTTTGAATAAGTATTATAATTATTATATTTATTATTGAGTACATTTTTTTGATTGTAATTATAATTTTTAATCATAGAGTTGGTCCCATTATTTATAACACTGTCGTAAGTATAAAAATCTTTATTATTATTATTATTATCAATATTTTGTTTAGTATTGCTATTACTTGTTATCAAATTTGATTTACTTGAAAATTTGCTATCGTTTCGGTCGATATCATGATTAAAATCAAAAGGAAATTCTAGATTGTGATGAAAACGGTGTCCACCCATTAGTCTTGTCGGTCGATGCCTTGTAAAGGTTGGTCTGGCATTGAAATGTCGGTTCATTGTCGGTCGTCTCCTATTCCTCGGCTGATTCTTAGAAAATCCCTGATTAGGTCTAAAGGTATTCCAATTGCGGACTTCGCCGATAGTTTTGTGCACTAAATTATTGCCAGTTATATCGTTAGTATTCATCATATCTTTGTCATTAATGCCATGGATTTCACTACTACTGGCGACCAGACGTTTACCGAGCGGTCGGTCGGTATAAAGAGATAAATCGACATTTTTGAACACATCTTTTAGCATTTTTTCCAAATCTTCAAACTCTTTGATCGCACTTTTCTGAGATTTTGGCTGTACTTTAACTTCAACTTTGTTTTCAACAATTTCTTTGTCTCTATCGTCGACATTGTCGTCATCATAATAGTCAGTGTTTGATAATAAATCATTGTTTGATTTTGTGTAATAAACTTGTTTGACCTCTTCTTCATCATTGGAAGTGATATCAGTATCTGTTTCTAATTCAGATGGAAGAGCGTCTTCTTCACTATAATGAGCCACAACATAGTCTTTGTCCACTCCTTTACTCTTCATTTTTTGACGCTTTCGTGACTTACGTTTGTCAGTAATTTCTTCAAATCTATTCTTAGACTTATCACTACACGGTTTGTCCTTAACATCTGACGCTGACATCAATTGATCGACTTTCGGATTAGTCTTATATTTGCGTTGAAAATCTTTAGCAATTTTGTCATTTAATTCTTGTATTATAGCTAACTGTTCCTGAGTTGTAAACACTGGTATATTTCTGGTGGCCGCCACTCGCTGTGACTTTTGTAACGGCGCTGATGGCGATGGAGATGCAAGTGGTGGTCGATAAGCATTATTTGGATGGTTAGGTCTGTGATTAGGAAGAGGTATTGGTGGACCTCCGAGTACGCCAATAGCGTCAGGAGGTCGAGAAAATAAATGTGGAGGTCTGGGAGGTTGTCTCATATGCCCTCTAAAAGGTAATTCATGTACGATGTCATCATAAGTAGGACTATAAGTAGGACTTAGTGCACGAAATATTGATCGAAATGCAAAACATTGATATCGTTTATCATTCAATAATATTATTATTAACACTTCAATAAAAATAAAAATTTTAGTAAGTATTTTCATGATTTATATGGTCCCACAATATTTTATAATTAAAAAAGTTTTTCAGTTTTGCAATAATAATGCAAAACTATAGGCACTTCTCATTGCACACAAATCTTTTCAACTAAAAACAGTTTTTGGGTTTACTTTACACTAAAAAACTCATTTCTTCTATTAAAAAGTGTAATTTAAATGATTAAAAGTGTTTTTAACTTTTGTGAACAAAAATAATAATAGAAATGTTTTTAAATTACAATTTAATTGCTAGATTTTTATTTGTTGATAAAAAAAGAAATATCACTTTTTTAAAAATAGATACCAATATTGTGTAAAAAGTTGATGATAATGGCATTGTAACAAACAAACAAAATTGTGTATTTAATAAGTTATTATTGGTTTCATATAAAAACAGGTATATACCCTATGATGAGGTTATGTTAACTAAATAGTTGCTTATCATCACTGGTATTGAACAACCAAATTAAGTTACACATGATTTCACAAAATTTATTATAGATATGATAGGCATTGTACCACTACTAACACATATCATATGTATTAGTATAGTATAGTATAATATAATACTGTATGATATATGGTAAATATATGATACATTTCATGCATAACATCAATAGCTTCTTTATATACATTAATTACTGCAATAGTTTAAATATTAATTGTATCATCAATTGGTTTTATGTATATATTTGTGAATATAGTTTACACTCTAATTGTTTTCGTGTGTAAAAAATATGAATAATTATCTAAATATTTGTGTACTGCACTACCATTTTGCATAGTATTCAATATATCGTAGATATGCTACAAAATATGTCTTAAAAATTTTCAAATTGCCATTCAATTTAATAGTTTATCTTTTTTATTTTGATATAATTATCATTTAGACTTTATAAATTAGTTTATTTTTACAAAAGTTTATTTTAAATTATTGATTAAATTTGATGCTTCATTGATAAACAAATAAAATTTCTGATTATTATTTTTATAGTTTTTGGTACATAACATGGTTATACAATACTAGTACTATAATATGATATATTTTAAAGAGTGATAATGAAAAATACATTTTAGAATAGTCTTAAAAAGTTAACTGAATTTTTTTTTTATTAAATAACAATTATTTTTTAGCTTTAAATAAACAATTTTTAAGGTTTTTAAAACTGAAATGAATACAACACGTAGTAATGATTATATAACAGTTAACTAACCATAAATGTTATTAAAATTAAAGTATAACTAATATTTTATTTATATTATAATTATTGATTTATAGTTATAAGTTATAACAATAATTTTCAAAACACATTTTAGTAGACTATTGTTTATTTCTTTGTTAATTTATTATTATAAAATAATTTTATTAATTTATAAGTTACTAAAATTTTAAAATTTAAAGTCTATTTGTTAAGTTGTCATTAAAATACTATTAAAATCAATAAAAAAAATTATATGACTAAATTATAATAAATTATGATAAACATATTGATAAACTATGGTTAACTATATTTAAAGTTTTAAGATTTATAATTAGAAACATTAAATATTATAAAATTAACTATTATAAATATAGTGATTTATTAAAGTGACAAAATTAGGCATAATTTGCATATTTATCATAATTAAAAAATCATCAAGGTCAATATCGTACATTTATGTTATTTTAACAATTACTAAATTATTAACTATTAGATAAATGCTGAGTAAAATTATAAAAATATAACGTTAAATGTAATAATTAGTTGGTGTGAAAAAAATACTTTCTTATTGTCAAAAATTAATTACATATAAAATACAAAATTGTTCTTAAAAATAGAAAATGTTTTTTAATTATAAGTGTAGTAATATATGGGAATGGGATCAAAGCACACATACACACGATTGATAACCTTTTATTATATAAAAAACTACATGTAATATACTGTACAGTACTGTATATAGAAATTTTTAAAAATTAATATATATATTATTAACATTTATTAATATAAATTATATTACTTGTTTATATTTATAAAGATAAATAAAATATTTGATTTAAAATAAATAAAAATTTAATTTATTAAATATTGATAAAATTAAAAATTATTTATATATTTAATATCTTTTTATTAATGCTACTATTTTTTTTATTAAATTTTATAGTCTAAAATATTTAAAGTTGCTGAATAATATTTTTTATCTTTAAAAATAATTAGTAATAATTTATAAAACATAAAATATTATATCAGAATTTTGTAAATTTAATGTATACTTATATAAAAAGATAAGTATAAATAAAACTAAATGACTTACAAAATAATTTTAAAAATAATGACTTTAATGATAGTCTAATTATTAGACTTTAGTTTAACCAATAATGAGTTTATTATATGTTTGAGAAGTTTACTCAAAATTTAACGGTTAATGACACATATCTGTGTTTTTACAAAAAGTTATTACCTATTTGACAATATTATAATTATTATTGTAATACCGGTATGCAAAAAATATCTTCAATAAATTATTGATTATAATGTTTATAGTATACAATATTTAGTTTGTTATATTTTACTATTGAATATTTTGACAAAATTAACATCAGATAATTGAAACAAACAAATTATGGCAAATCTTTGACATCTTTTCCTAATGTTTTTGTCTGTACGATAGTGTCGGGTAATTCAATATCTTTTGTTTCGGGCAATAGAAAGGTCAACAAAGCTGCAGATAATGAGGTAATTATATAGATAACCATAACTACTGATAAATGTGTTGCCTCTGCCTATAGAGTAGAAAAATTCAAAATAATATAAATAACATTAATTATATAATTAATTATTAAAAAAAACAATTTACCAGATCTTTCATGAATGGGGCAGTGATTGGACCAACTCTTGAAATAAACGATATGAGTCCTTGTCCTCTACTTCGTAGTAAAGTAGGAAAAATTTCACTACAATGCATACCATATACTGTCCAACCACTGGTCACACCGGCCTTTCCTATCAATGCAAACATGACTTTCAAAACAGTGTGATTACCAGCAAAAGTGACGCCCAATGAAGCAATGGCCACAATAATGACATACGAAGCGAACAATGGATTTCGTCGGATATATTTCATTGTAAGTATAGTGAGGACATTGATTGGCAACTCTACCAGTCCTGACAACATAAATGTTATATAAAAATTTCCGCCAAAATGATCCATATTTAGACTAAATCCGTAATAAATAAATGCCAAAACAGTGCCAATATATATGTTAATTATTGTATATCGTCTTAATTTACTTGTTTTAAACAAATCAATTACTGATACTTTTTGTTTGATTTCATTTTCAGTTTTTAGCTGTTATTATAAGTGCAAAAACACAATTGAAATCATAAATTATATGATTAAACTTTAAAAACTTACTTTATCTAAATGTTGTGATAATTCAATGAGTTGTTGTTTCAAATGTTCATCACTTTTGCCGTTCAATTTCAATATCTTTCTCATAGTTGTCTCTGCTTTATCTAACTGTCCACTTGTGATTAGCCAACGGGGAGATTCGTCAATGAAATACCACCAAACTATTAATAGTGTGGTCCACACAACGGCACCAAAATTCATTAGACGAAAGTCTTGTAACCAATAGGCATAGACTGGTACTAAAACATAACCGACAACCCAACCCAATCCCAATAATATACTTATATCCGATCTATGTTTAGGTGTTAAATATTCAAGTACTGAGAAATAAAAATATATTGTTATTAATATTATAACACATTTTGATTGTTAATTCAGCACAAATCTAACCAATGGTGCCAATAGCTCCTCTTCCAGCAGATCCTAATCCCACAAAAAATCGGGATATTGCGTATTGAACCATATTTACTGATAGACCGCACGATAACAATCCCAATGCCTCTATAATAATAGCGATTAATATAATTGGTTTTCTGCCATATCTGTCCATTAGGTCAGCCAATACTAATCCATTTACTATATATGATATATAATACGATGCTTGAGTTATTGAAGCCACGTTTGAATTATCGCACACTAAATTAAACTGGATTTTCATAAATATAAATACATTTTAATAATATTTAATATTTTTGTTAAATTTTTTACATTATTGTAACAAACATTTAAAACTTACTTCAGTAACGAGTGATCTCTTGAATTGTGTCCTATCGTATTGCCATTCAGTACACGACTCGTTTGGATTTATAAATTGATTGCATTTCATTGATTGTGTTTTATTCTGTTATATAATATTGTAATTATTATACAACTTATTAGTTAATAATAAAATGATATAAACTTTATAGTTAAATAGTAAAGATATAAATTATTTTAAAAATTATATTTACCGGATAATCAATTGGCATATCATTACACCAAAATTGATTTTTATATGAGTGAAATGTATAACTCATATTACTGATGGCATTCATAGCGTGAATGACAAACCCAAAAATAAATACATTTGTTTGCCATTTACCCCATTGACCGATGATATCGGACACATGAGTCTTTGATTCATTAAAATTTTCCATTATTTTTAGTGTAACATAATATTAGTAATATATGACAATTATTTATTGAAGATCAAAACCGCCAATTAATTTTTAATTTATTTAATTGCTTATTATATACTATAAACAATCGTATCTATCAAATCTAATTAATCAATATTTATCAAAAAGTACTTTGAGTGCTGTTTCCCTATTAAGTAGTAATTTATTTATACACTAAATATAATAATAGTATATCTGTATTTTTATGTATTTTAATATTTTAAGTAAAGTATTTCAATTGATTAAATTAATTAAATGTTTATATTTTTATTAATTTTATTAATCACTTACTTATGATATATTAATGTCTATTATATGAATTACTAATACATTTATTTTGATAAAATTTATATAAAATATTAATATAATTATAGATTAAAATAATTGGTAATTATGCTTTAAATTATGTTTTTATAAATTTTCTAATATTTCTTTATTTAATTTTTCTTTAAATTTTAAAATGATTTAATATAATAATATATTATTTAAGAGATTAATTAAAATTTAAACAAATAATATTACAGTAAATATATAAATAAATATAATATTAAATTTTTTGGTCGAGTAGTCCATTATCATCGGTTGTGTCGTTAACAGCGTACGGCTTATCTGTTTCCAAATACTCGACGTCAGCCAAAGTGTCCGGCAATTCCTTACCTTTAGTTTCGGGCAATAATAGAGACAGAAATGCACTAATCATTGAAATAGTCGCATAAAATATCATAACAAAAGTAAGACTATATTTCGATGCCTAAAAACAGAGAAACAAATAATATAATATTTATTTTAAACTTCATATTTATTTTTATACCAATCCTCCCATAAATGGTGATACAGTTGATCCTAGTCTTGCCATGGCTTGTGATGAACCCGAAGCACAGTTACGCATTAGCGTCGGATAGAGCTCAGGTACGTACACTTCAACGACCCACCAGACAGTGCCGACAGCAAACTTACCGATCAATGCAAACGTGACTTTAAGTACTGTTGATGTCGATGGGATGACAGCTAATGAGGCCAATGATATAATGACGAGAAAACCAAAAAATGATTTTTTACGACCAAAATAACGAATTGTGAAAATTGATATAATAGATGAGGGAAACTCAACAACACCTATAAAAATCATTGGTCTTAACATATAATTTATTTTAATATTAAGGCCTAATTCACAGACCTCCCAATAGAAAAGATAAGTAAACATTTCCACCAAAATCAGCCATATTTAGACTGAATCCATAATAGACTAAACCGATTACAAGCCATGATATGCAAAATATCAGTGAATACTTGCGAAGATTTGGTGTGCGAACCAAATCAAAGGATGTAAATGACTTCTCTTTTTGTCGATTCTGACCATATATTTCATTAGATTTATAATCAAAGATATATATATATATATATATAAATAATACTGATATCATACCAGATGTATATGTGTCTTAAGTTCGGTAAATTTTTCTTCAAAGTTGTCGGTATTCAACCCGTTTTGTTCACAAATACCGCGCAAAACCCGTTTGGCTTTTTCCGTGCGACCGGTGGTTATGAGCCAACGCGGCGACTCATTTAAAAAGAAAAGCCAACAAACCATACAAACAAGTGGACAGACTATTGCCCAATGCATGTATCGGAAATCACGCACATAATAGGCCACAATAGGTATTAAACAGTATCCAACTAACCATCCCATACCTGATGACAGGTATATATCTGATCGATGTTTTGGACCCAAATTCTCCATCACTAAAATTATAATAAAAAATAGTATTTCAAATTATTTTATTATTTATATTATCTTATAAATTTAATTTTATAATTTATAGAAATTACTTTTTACTAAATGTATTAATAAAATATTTGACTCAATAATATTATAACTAAATATAATTTTAGAATAATATAACAAACACAATAAACTGTTTTTTTTTCAATATTAGATATAAAATAATCATTTAGTTGTATTAAAATACTGTAAAACAATATTAATAACATACATGTTGTACACATACAACCACTACGACCACAGCCGCCAATACCGGCAAATAAGCGGAAAATTATGTATTGATATACATTCACAGATAAGGCACATGCAATCAATGCAATTATCTCTATGAGAAAGTATATATAACAAAGTGGTCGGCGACCATATCTATCGGGAAGTGATGACAATATTAGACCCGATACCACATATCCCAACATATAAAATGATTGTGTAAGTGATGCTAAGTTTGACCGATCGCATACTAAATTAAACTATAATTACAATAATAATAAATAAAGAACATTACCTTAATATTAATATTTAATATATTTGTATTTATAAAGTAGATTTAAATAATTATAATATATAAATTTATACAGTATATATATATATATATATATATATATAGTGTTGATTTACATATAAAATATAGTATAATAATAATAGACGATTAAAAAGCTGACCTCAGATATGATTGATTTATCAAATTCCTGTGAATTAAACTTCCATTGAGTGCACACTTGACTGGTATTTATAAATTGATTGCATTTCATATCAATAGTTTTATTCTAATAATTAAAATTTATTACATATAATATCACTATTGAAATGTGCGGTCAAATAATTACCTCATAATCTATGGGCACATCATTGCACCAAAACTCCGGCTGATAAGCAAAGAAACTGAATCCCAGGTCATTGTAAGCCAATATAGTCATCAAAATAAAGACATAAATCATGAGATTTCTCTGCCAAACACCCCATTCGCCGATTATATCCGATATGTCTTTTGTCTTAAACTTTTCCTCTTCGGTTAATTCACTCATTATTCAAATGTTTACACAACTTATTTGTGTAACAATAAAATTAGTTATAAATTTCAAACACAGCGCCACAAACACTTAAGTTAACAAAAAAACTATATTTTAACATTATATTTTAATATCAATTAAATCATTTCAAATTTGTATCAATATATCATTATAGTTTTTAGATTAAAAATTAATTAATTATTTTTTTAAAAAAAATTGTTACATCATTTACAAATAAAGGTGTATTTTAGATATCAGTTGAAATTGAGAAATAAAAACATATTAAATAAAACATAAAGTAGTTTATGGACTATTAATCATGAGTTTAAACTAGTTTTTAGGCGACTCTTTTAATTTCATGTATAATTATATCACATTTAAAGACAAAATTTTGAAATAGTTATAAAAATTATGTTATATTTTATGTAAATTTCATTGATTTTTGTAAATGGGTATAAAATAAGCCCACATATTAAAAATAATAAATTGAAACAATCAAAGATGTAATCTAGTTTATTATTAAATTATTAAAATACACTACAATTTGTTTATTAAATAATTAACTCAATCAACTTTAAAATTTTAGTAAATAATAAAAGTTGTTTATCATATTTAATGTATATTAAATACATAAAATAAAAGCATATTAAACATATAAAACTAATATAATTTTAATAAAATACTTATAATATATTTTTAACTAAAGTTTTAATCTCAACAATCGGATGAAAACTTTAACATAAAAGTGTACATTACTTATGTTGAAATCATACATTAATTAAAATTTCTGTGTATTACAGTGAATAGTACAGTATAATACAATATATAATATATTACTATAGTGTTGTTAAATGTCCACTAATTGTCTGGACAATATTGTAAGATAGGGAAAAAATATTAGATATTAAAATTAAAAACATAAATACATTGTTTCTGAGACAACTTTTAGAAAAAATTACAAATATATTTTGTAATTGAATTTATAACATTGTATACTATGTCCAGTATTATCTAAAAATAATTTGTTAACAATACATTTGAGCCCAAAAACTACTTTTTCGCTTTTATTTTATTATTGCTTTACAATTCCTGCTATCCTTGAGTTCAAGTTTTTTTTATAATTGATTAATTTATTAAATTTACATTGAATTTCTAATATTTTAAAAATATTATTGTTTTAAAGTATATTAATAGTAAATTGGGAAAAGGTGTTGTTTATATTTAAAATTAATTTTTATTAACTGTATTGAATAGGTGTTGTGTCAGTTTTGACAATAATTTATTGTTTGATTAATATTAACTTAAATTTTATTTATTTAATATTATAATTATTTACTTTTAAATACAATGCTATATTAATAGACAGTATAATGTAAAGTTTGTATGTAAATTGTAAACAATATATAACTCCTACAGTATTTAATATTATACCTCACCTATAAAATAAATAATATTATTATATTAAATAGATTTTACTATATATTAAATGTTTTAAGTAAAAATTTAACATTTTATTTATAATTTAGAAATAATATAAAACTAACATTTTAAATAATCCAAAGCAAAGAAAAAAGTTTATTATTATTATTAGCAAAAAAATAATAATAATAATTTACAGAACTAATAGATATTTATCATCTAATTTTAATTATATTATTAATTTAGTATTATATAAATAACTTTTAATATTTATAGTTATTAAATTCAATTGAATCGATAAGTTATTTTTATAGAAATTAGACAAATCAATATTACAATCTAACATTTTAAAAGTTAGTTTATTTATGAATTCATAGGAATTTTATTGATTTAATTTTCCCTAAAATTTCCAGTTAGAAAAAAATAAAAATTAGACAAACATTTTTTATTTAATTTAAATGTAAAATTGTCTTGAATTTTTTTTTTACTATTTATGAATATAATTATTTAAGTTAGTTATTTTAGTAGTGTGTATATAATGTGAAGCTTTATTATAATGTTATAGCAAAAGTTTTGATTACTAAAAATTAATTGTACACAATTATAATAATTTGACCATAAATGTAAAATATATATAACATTATGTTTTATAAATTTTTCTAAACTACTTATAAATCTAAATATATAGTTCATTGATAAAATAAATATAGTCTAAATAAACAAAATTGATTTACGGTATTCAATTAAAGTTATATAATTTGTATAAATTAATGCAAATAAGGAACTTTCAATAAATAAAATTAAAATGTAAATATAAATAGTGATAATAATAATGTAATAGTACTGATATTCTTGTTTAATATTTTAATAGTAATAAATTGAAATATTATATCCTTGAATAAATAGTAATCATTAGAAAATAATGCTATTTTACTAACAATAATTGTAGTTAATATAAAATATATTTATTTAAATATTACTATAACTTATAATACATTCTTTAGATTATTATAATTAAAAATAGTTTTTAAATCAATTTTAATAGCTGTAATCCGTACTTAAAAAATTATCTATATATTAAAGTATATCTTATAACTTTGACAAATAAAATCTAACTACAAAATCATTTATAGTTACTATAATTAATCATTTATAACAATTTGTTTTTATGGATAATCAAATGTTATTAACTGAATATAATTGTAATCATTTTTGTCTTTTATAAATTTTAGCCAAAAAGTCAGTAAATATATTTGAATTCAATTGACTTTTAGTTTTCATTTCATCAATTAATTTGCAAATATCTTTGTATTGCATTTCTTCTTCCTTGTGATACAAGTCTTTAATATTGAGTTCGTTATAGATTTCTTTGACTTTTTGTACACAATCGCCATCTTTGATGCCATAGTTTTCTTTAATAGTTGCCATTTGTTTTTCATTGGACACTTCAAAAGCCTTAATGATAGGCCAACAACACTTCCCCTCTTCAATATCCGTACCAATCTTACCAATGATTGCCGAATCACCGTAACAGTCGAGATAGTCGTCCTGAACCTGAAACATGTGTCCTATTTTTAGAAGAATTTCTTCGGCATTCTTGTGCTCGTCTTCATCGTCAACGCCTGACATATACATAGCTGTCGATTAGTTTTTAAAAAATTTATTAAATAAAAAATAAAATTATTATAAATAACTTTAAGGACTTACCGAGTCTTACGGGTAAAACAAATGAATAATAGGATGTCTTGTATTTAACAATATTCTTATAACGGGTTTGACTGAAACTAGCAAATTGTGGGCTTTTATTCGGGGGTTTAGATGCCGTATCTAAACATTGACCATACGATGTATACCGTGATATCTGTTTTATAAAAAATATTACTTTTTATAACTTAAATTTTTTTATTATTAATTAGTTATGATTAATAATATTTATCAATAAAAACCTCATGAAATAAATCCACTAATTTTAAATAATAATTCTTATTTTTGAAGAATAATTTTAAAATGTGATAATTTTCTTGATCAATGAGTATCGCATCATTGCAAGCCATTAGTCCCACATAATCCTATTTTTCAATAAAATCATTAAATCAATTTAAATTTATTAAAAAACTATTATCATTACAAAATAATTTTACAAATAATTACTAACCAATTTATACCAACATAACTGTCCACGTCTTGTAATAGACTGATCCATCATATCGTCGACCACCAAGAAGTATGCCTGAAGAAACTCGACACACCAGCCCAACACACGGGCCAACTCAATGTCATCTTCGGATACATTATTGTTATTTTGTTGTTCAGCTATTATGCGAAAAGTGGTCACAACAGTCAGCCCGCGGTTACGTTTTCCGTGAGGAACGTTGTATTTTATGCACTCCTTTACCCAATTCGTTACTTCGGTTAATTCATCTGAAGATTTTTCTGCCAAAAGTGCTGACAATATCTTATTGAATGTCTCGTCAAAGTCTTTTACTTCTTTGTTATCAATCATTATAATAGCAAAATATTTTTAGATTTGTTTTTGTAACAAAATTCTGTTATTAAAATAATTAAATTTTTTATTTTATAATAATAGTTAACTTATTATAAATAAACAATAATATTATTAATAACAATAATAAATATAAATCATATTTTAAGTATAATTATTATAAGTTTACTTTCAATAAAAATTAAAGACTACGTGTCTATTATTCTGTCTTAATTTATATAATAAAATGAAAATAATTTCTTCAATAATTTAACTTTTTGCTAAATAATTAATATTTAAAAAAAAATATCAGTTGGTATTTGAAAACTTACGGTAAAACAGCATTTCCTGTGTTAATATACCGGTAAAAACAAATGGGAAATATTTATTAATAGCAAAAAACAAGGAAAATTAAAACTACCTATGATTTCAATACAAAATTCAATACAGATATCAATACATAAAGATTTATATTATTATGTATTTACAGATTCTATTATACATTATACGGTGTATAATACACTGTATATATAAATTAAATTTCTATAATTAAAGATAACTCATTTTTGATATATTGTTAATATATTTAAATTTATAACAAGATATTTAATAGAAATAAACATAAAAAGTTATTAACATTTGTGTTTCAAACATCATGTCATATAATGAAAATAAATTATATAATTAGACAATATTGTTATAAAGTGAATAGCAATTGTCAATTATTGAAAAAATAATTTGTAATTATAATTTGTAATTATTGAATATATTGAATATATTGAATTGTATTGTATTTATAGATAGTGTTTGTAATAAAAATATATAATATATGATTATTTTTATGGGAGTTTGTAAATAGTCTATAATTAGTAAAAAATAAAGTAAAATGACATCAGAAGAGGAATATTTAAGAAAAATAATTGACATTTATTTAAAACGTATGATAATAAAGACAACAATGAGATAATCACCTAAAGAGTGGTGTCCTTCGTAATTGTAATCTTTTATCGGACAATCAATAGATAGCCTTCAAATGTTATAAAGTAAATACAATTTTATTAACATTTAGTAAAAATTTTAGTAAAAAATATTTATTAAATAACTCTTTGATAGTTATTTGCTTTATTTCTAATTGAAAGAAACAAAATATAACACAAAATTATTGATATTATTAATAACACTGTCAACTACTATTGAGAAATATTTATAAATACTGTAATTTTTTAGTAACAATGTTTCATAGTTTTTTTAATTGCAATTTATTAAAAAATGCAATATTAATAATAATATAATAATATGAATCACTGATTATTCATATTTGTATAAATTATGATTCAATACAGTATTAATGTTGATAACAATTAATAACATTAATCTTTAGTTCATTTAATACTATTGATAAAAATATGACACAATATGAGAAAATAAATATATTATATACTATAAAATAATATTAAAAAGATATAATATTATGATTTTTTAAAACAATTGTATTGTATTGTACTTACTATTGTACTTATTATTTAATAAATAATTTTATTATATTTTATAAATGATTATATATTTTACACTTACTATGAATTGGTAGTCGAAAACTTTTCACTACACAATAATACACATTTTTAGTACATTTTTATTTTAATAATAATTGTGACAATTTAGAAATTAAAGTTAAAAATTTATCTGGATTGTCTATCAATTTATATATGTAAGGTATATAATAAAAAAATTAATTGAATTTATTTTCATTTATAGAAGCAAGGTCAAATGTTTTGAACATATGCTGAAAACTCATTACTAGACTTACCAAATAAAGAGGTCAACAATCATTCCCACTCTATATTTAATAATATATGTTATCCTGAGATTTACATTAACTAATAAAATTAGAATTGTATTTATCATGTTTTTACTTTTTCATATAAATTGTCTATAAAAATGTCAAAAACAAATAAAGTATATATTATAATCAGTCAATACGTCAATACAGTTCAATATTTAATTTAACTATAGATTCTGTTAAAAATGAAACAATTTTTTTTATTTATAATATTTTTATATTAGTACTAATATATATGTTTATAATTTAATAATAAATTAAAACTCAGTTATTTGCAAATTAGTTAATTTTATTTAATATATCGCGCGTCTGATAATTGTCCTCTTTTTTCTAAAGTCTACTAATTACCAAATATTAATATCTAAATCCATACCTATATCGATGTGACCACAACTATCAAAATACTTATCCGATTAAATTACTGTACTTTTATTATAATCACTTTTTTGTAACTTTTAAAATAAAATTGTTTTATTTAAATTATAGTCACGATTGCTTCAATCAATTGATTTATAATCATTAATTCAAAAGTTTTGCTCAAATAACAACAGTTAAGTACAGTATATTTCTATGCTTAACAGCTGTGCTTAATAATTGCCACTAAAAAATTTATTTTTTATAACAAATATAATATTGTGACAAACAATTGATTACTGAATTGTGTTTTATTATATGTATTGATAAATGTAATTTATAATGAATTGACAGTAAAAATAAATGTTGGATAAATGTATGATAATCATTATATAATCAATTTTTAAACATTAGTCATTTTTCATATAACTTTTTTAAAATATTAAAATTATAATTTAAAGACTATTTAAATATATATTTTATTTTATTTTATATCATTAACTTTTACATTTACTTAATAAAAATGTATAAATTTGTTTTTCTAAACAAATACCGGTATATTTTATATAAATAAAATAATTTTGAAACATTTATTACCATTTTCTATATGTATTAAATTAAATATTTTAAAATACAATATATTATTTTAGTAGTTATTTTAAAATAATAAAATGATTGCACTAAATGTAGATTTTTAAAAAGCAATTATATGTAAAATAATAATTTCATTGTAAATATGATTTTATAAATTTATATTATAATTAGGGTTAGATCAGATTCCCTCCCTCGTCTTATTTTCCATAAGTTCCTTATATTCCCTCTTCCCTGGGAATTCCCTGGGAAGACATTTCCTTGTGGTACCACCTATCATACACTAACTCACATTACATAATGTTTAATTAAAAACACGTTTGTATAGTAAATGTCTACAAAATGTATTTAATGTTTTTACTAAATGTTTAATAATATTTTAATCATATTTTGATTGAGTTATTACTAACATACTGGTCCCAATGAAACACATAGATTAGGTACTTTTTAATGTATGACAAATTATATTTTCCCTTTCTAACGATTAAGGAAGGGAATATAATATATTTTCCATATTTTCCGGGAAAATTGGAGGGAATTTATTTGGGAACTTCCCTCCCTCGGAATCTCAATCTAACCCTAATTATAATATAATGACTAATATATATATCAAATTAAGAGATAAAATGAAAATTCATGGATACATAAAATCATACAAAAGTATTGCACTGTAATATATTTAAGTATAATATATATGTTATAAATTGATTAAAAAATTAATATAATAAAAGTTTCTAAAAATTAACAAATGGCGTTCATATATTTCAAATAAAATTTAATTATTAATTTAAAATCAAATATCAATAATATAATTATAATGTACATTTTTAAAAACTATAAAATGATAAAATTATTTATTCATTAAAAACAATTTCAACATTATATTTATATTTGCAATTATTTTGACGTATAATATTTTAAAACATATTTTAAACATTAATTACAGATGTACTGTATTTGATAAATATTAGTATTAAGTATTAAATATTATAATAATAAGGCGTGGTTCACATATTACGTTCGAACTTGAGGGGAGGGGGGGTTGGCCAAAGCGAACTTTTGCGAACGAGGGGGAGGGGAGGGGTATAGTCTTTAAGAACGTTCGCATTTAGATATTTTATTTCTTGTGGTGGGGGGGTAGCGGTTAGGGACATGCGAACGTAATTTTTTTAAATCACTACATGCGAACAATTGCGAACATAGGGGAGGGAGGGGGTCTAGATTTCTTAAAAAGTGCGAACGTAATATGTGAACGACGCCTAAATAGTTTGTTTGATTTGTAAATACTCTGTGTTTGTCTATTGCATTATTGCATAGATTAGTGATTTTTGATTATTTTTATAAAAATTCACTGAAATTAAATTTATAAAAGTTTTATTTAAATCGTAATTTCAATGATTTTTAATAATAATAATAAATATATAACAGTAATACTATATAAAAATAAGTAATTTATTTGTTTATTATAAACTTTTTGTTTATTTTACTCATAAACTGTTTTTAAGTAAGGGACCGTCTAATAATTAAATCATTGCTGTAATATATTAGTTAATATAAATTTAAAATTTATTATAAGTCAAATACAAAAGCCGTGAATCACAAGTTGTGATATATTTATTTAAAAATTAGATAAACATATATAATATTGATTTGGGTTAACTAAGACAAAATGTTTGTATAATAAAATGATASAATGTATAATACACAAGCAAAAATGCCATACATTTTTATAATTAGCGCCACCTAATATCAAAAACTAAAACATTAGAAAATAGTAGAAATAATTATAATAGATTTGATATTTTTTCATTTGGACCGGTCTATGTTGTAAGCAAGGTTTTTTGTATTATTTACACGCGATATTGTTTCAATCAATTTAATTGTATTTCACGCGCTATGAACATGTATCTTTATAATTAATAAAATAAAAGTAAACAAAATTTATGCAAAAATAATCTCAATTTAACCTAACCTAATATAGGATATATAAATGTTAACTTAATCTAATCTATTGTATTAGTGTTCGCCCGTTACCTAATCTGATGGACCCTTCGCAACCTTAACCTAATTATAATGATATTTATACAAATGTATTATATAATTACTGTATAATAGCACGTGAAATACAATTAAATTGATTGAAACAATAGCGTATAAATAATACAAAACCCGTGTTTATATAATAGATTTTATACTCATTTTTATTTTATTCTTATTCTTGAATAACATTATCGATATGTTTATTATATCAATAATGAGTTTTTTAAATAATTATATTTTAATTAAATAATTTTTATAAATTTTTTAACATAGTATCTATTAGTTGAACAAAATTGTAAAATACAAGCAATGCATTGTACAGTGTTATACTGTAGTATACAAAATCAAAATTAAAACCCTTTTATCTTTCTAACCCTAATATTAAGTATATGAGACATATGTTAAATACAGTACAGATGCTATTGTCAATATAAAAATATGGAAAATAAGCGTTTAATTACTAAAAAAATTAAATAAAATCATATTTGAATTGAATGCTAAATCTATGAAACATTTGCATTTAATTAATAAAAATACTTTTTTTGATAACAAAGTTAGTATCGATAGAGGAGTTATTGAATTCAATTTTATTAAAAGTTATGTGATTTTATTTTTGTTGTTTATAAATATTATAGAAAATTAAATTCAAATTAAAGTTATGCACGTATATCATGTTTATGTGAAATTTAATAAATATTTAAGATTATATCGATTTAAACATAAAAACGGTTTTTTATAATGTAATGTCAAGATCTTCATTTAAAATCTAGAAATATTTGCATTTTTATACATAAAATAAAATATGACATAATTTAATATATACTTATGTAACACTGTATAATATTACATATGTATTACAGATAATTATTTTAATAATAAATAATTAAACTTAACCCTATTACTAAAATATATTGTTATTGTTTTAATCTTAAAAATCAGGCTAAATGTGAAAGTTATTTAATTGAATCTTTATAATTTAGTAAACGTGTTAATTGATATATTAATTTTAAAATACTATTTTCTTGATTTATATGTTAAAGCATTATATAAGTATTATTTTGCTTAATAAAAATAATTATGTTTTTTCTATTTCACATGAATGAAACTAAAAAATTAAGTAAAATAAGGAAAAAGTTTTATATTATGATATAAAACTAAAATACAACTTTTTTAGAAAAAAATACAATATAAGTTATAATATTTAACAATTACTATAATAACCAATTTCTTTTATATTTTAAAAATTTTACAATAAAAAAATTAATCCTGTTTTTTAAATTGTTTGTGTATTGATATTTGATGTCATTATAAGTTTATTACTTTCAAACATCTAATAGGAAATACTTATTGTTTTTTAAAACCAATACAATAGTTAATAAATATATTTTGTTGTTGTTGTGTTTGAATGTAATATAAAACATACATAAATAAAATTTCAACTGTATTTTAAAGATATTATATGATATCAAGTTATCATTGTTTACTAATTTACTATTTGTTCAATGATTTTACAATAATTGTTATTAAATATTCTTTCAAATTTTATTTATTTTAATAAATATATTGTATTTAAGACACAAAAATTATTGACTTAATTTATAATATGATGTTTCACTCAACTAATTTTTGTGTCAATTTATCTATTGACTGATACACAGTATCATATAATTGTGTAAATATTTGTAAATAAATGATACATTTCCTGACTCTGATCTCAATATTTGTAATTATTATATAAATTTCAACGACAAAAACATATAACACACACATTGTTTGCTATTAAAATGAAACGGATATTAAGGTAATATCAGTAATTATTATATAATAATATTTATAATTTTTAGCAATTTTGTATATATTCAATATATATGTAATTTTATTTGTAAACATTTTAAATAAATGTTTTCCTCAATAAATAAATATATTAAAAGAGAATATATGATAGTAACTAATATTCATTATTTTATGAGATTAATGTAAACACATAACACATACTCAATAAAAAATTTAGTTATTTAATAAAGTTGAGGAAAACAGTGTAATATTGTATTAAGTTTTATATAGTTTGTCTTTTTAGTCAAGACTTAAAAGATTTAAATAATATAATAGTATTAAAATTTGTCCTAATTTTCAAAAATATCTGTCTATAAGCTAATATTAAACAAATAGTTATTATTATTTGATATAAAGTGAAAGTGAATAAAGTTATGGCAGTGAACTTGGATCAAGTTATTGATCAACAACAACATCATCAACAACGACAACAAAGTGATATCACCAATAGTGCTGAACAACGATATAATGATTTAAAAAATCATGGTTATTATGAGGATGGTATAACTGATAAATTTGACCATGATCAAGTGCCTAATTGGTTTGATTTAAAAAAATATGAGCGCTGTATATATTTGGCGCGCAAACATTTTGTCAGGTAAAGTATATTTTAATTTTATGTTTAAAATTTATACACAAAAAATTAATTTATGTTTATAATACAACAATTATTATTTAAGATAATTTATAAATATTATTTGTTTTAAAGTTTTTTCTAATAATTATAAATAGATTCAAAAATTTTGTGATTATTTAAAATATTTACTCTATAATAATAATAATATATTTTATATTTATTTAAGAAAATCTATATTTATAGTTATTTATATTTAAAATCTTAAATAGTTTATATATCGCACACTTTATTGGACTTCTAATGATAATCCAAATCCCGTCGGGTTTGGCGCCACTGTTAGTAACCGGAAACTCGTCAACTGTGGCCAAACTTTTTCGTAGATATCTGTCGACACTAATTCATGTGAGAAATTGGTACGAAAGTAATCCGTTTGATAAGCAATCGTTGGCCAACAAGTCTATGTTGAAGGTGCGGGCAATGCATAAACGTGTGGCACAGTTGATGAATAGTCGACCAAATGTTGATGGAGTTAAAGACAAACTATGGCTCAATCAATATGACTTTGTGATGACTCAATGGGCGTTCATTGGACCCGTCATATTATATCCAGATGAATGTGGTCTACGACCTGCCAGTGCTGAAGACATTGAGCATCTGTGTTATATGTGGCGTGTAATCAGTTATTGTATTGGAATCGATGATAAATATAATCTCTGTTCCGGAAATATGGATGAAGACAGACAGTTATGTCGACTATTGTTTGAACGAGACTATCGCCCAGTGCTTGAAAATGCGGAAATTCAAAACAATATGGGTTGGCATATGGGTAACGGTATTACACTGGCATTGAAAACTATAAATCCATCCCTTAGTTTTGAAGCACTTATCAGCTATTGGTATCCTGTATTGAAAATACCACATAAAATCAAATTAGACTCATTTTTTCTCAAACTTTCCTACTATTATCTGTACTTTAATTTTCAGGTAAAGTGTTATTCACATAATTTGTTTGTTTGTTTGTTTGTTTAACATTTTAAATACTAACATTACCGGTACATAACAGTACCCATAAAGTTATTGTTGTACTAATATTATAAAATAATTGCAATTTGATAGATAATGTTGCGATTTTCATTTGCCCACTGGTTGTATGGATGGGCCTATCGATTGCTTATAGCCATTGCAATCAAAAAAAGACAAATCAAAGAAAACTTATTAAAACTCAAATACAAAGACTTGAAATATGAAGAAGAAAAGTGTCCCATAAATCATATCGATATACAATATAGCGATGCTTTTGATGAAAAAATTAATTATTAATTAATTAAATAACATTCAGTTTAAGATATTTAAAAAAACTGTATTTAAATAATTGGTTTGAGTTATGACAATTATATAATTAATTTTATTATTTAATTACGTTTTATACCGTATAATACTTTATATTTAATACTCATATTTATGAAAACATAATTATTTTTTATTTTATGATGAGATATAATCTAATGTATACATTTACTGTAGTTTTATATAATGCTAGTCATTAATAAATATCTGATATTAATAAACAACTTTAAACAACACTCACTCTTTATATTATAAATTAAAAATAATATCAATATTTTTGACAACAATATTTAACATTAATTAAAATATATTATAATACAGTAATACTCTTATTTTAATATAAAAAGTTTCTAATATTATATAATAGTAAATACTTGTTAAAAATATTTAAAATTAAAAAAAAATCTTTTATTACTTAAATTATTAATTCTCTAAATAATATGTTTTCTATAATTAATTAGTTATTTAACTAGCTAGGTTATTAGGTTTATATATATATATATATATTACTAGGTAGATAAATTTATTACATGTAAACTATTAATATTTAATAATTATTGTATAATAATAATAGTAATAAATTAAATACTTTATATGCTTAATAATTTTTATTGTCCAATTAATATTGTATGAAAACAATTAATTAAATTAATAATATATCAGACATTTATTTTGCCGGTGGTCTGCTTGAAGCCACAGTATTCAACAAATGGATTTGTTCAACGAGTATGCATAGAGTTTTAGTGCGTTTAGCCGGGTCAGTTATACCCTTAACCATACTATCAATTTTGGGACTATTGTTTCCGATAAAGTCGCGCATCTATTAATTAATTAATTTTAAACAAATTGATTGAAATTATGTTAAAAGTTTTTTTTTATAAATAAAATAATAATTACTCTCTGATGTTGTTTAGCCCAGTAATTACTTTTCGATGATTTCAATTTTGGGATCAAATCGTCCAAAGTTTCCAAAGTTTCGTCGATTTCATGCTTCCATTGATTCCAAAGGGTCTGTTCGTCGGCACATTCAGTTGGCTCAACCTCTCGTCTTTTAGTGTCGACATCTGTGCGCCAATCGATGACTCGTGAAGTGACAGCAAACTTGGCCACAGCTATCGGGGCTTCAGTTTTATTTGATATAATAAGAATTTCAGCCATAGCTTTATGAAAACCAAAGTCATAGACCCAGCGATTGATATAATTGAAGATATCGTACGCAACATTCAAACCCTGTTTGACTTTCAACCCTTTGGCCCAATTCATCATTTTGTTGTCCATGTTTTTGATGTGATCGTGAATGTAATTCAAGATCTTCACTGAGCCTAATGTCTCTTCTTTAGTCTTCAACAACCATCCAACAGTGTCTTTGATGACCTCTCCCTGAACTTTGAGTATATCTTCAACTTTGTACGATGTAATTGGATACTTGGTATCATCACCAGGGTCACATCGCACTAACAATTAATAATAATAAAAATAATTATTATTAAGCTTATTTTTAAGTTATTTTTTAAATTTTTAAACATAACATTACAATAACATACCCAAACACATAAAAGCAACCAAAATAATTGATTTAAATAACATTATTATTTAGTTTATGGTTAAAACTTCTAATCTTGAATCATAAAACTTCACTGATATTTTAATTCATGAAATACTAGCTTTTTATATATAAATTTCAATAGACTTTTTATGTCGAAATTTTGATCGAAACATATTTATTGGTCATAATTTTCCGGGAGCAGTTTCATTAATCATATGATTTATTTTAAGTATAAGTTCAAAATAATAATTTAAGTATTATAATATATTGATACTGTATTTTATTATTGTATAAAACATTTATAAAACACTTGTTAGTCATTTATATTAAACACAATAATAGATTTTATTGATCAGTTCAGTGTTAATTTATAGTACAGTAATTAATTAAAATATTAGTTATTAAAATTATTACTTTAATATTTATCATATACATGTAATGTTCAAGATAAATTTTATTAATTTTAGCTTCCACTTGATTTTCAGTACAAAAAATGCAATTGTTTGTTTAGTAAAATTATGAATTATATATAGGTTATGTAATATAGTTTTGCATTATTTTAATGCATTAAATTAGATTTGTAGTACAATAATGAATATATACAAAATAAACAGAAACTTTAATTAAACACAATATTTATAAAAATAAAAAAAGTTTTTTGTCAATTAATCGGCAATATTATAAGATTTATAATAAGTATATTTTTTACTTTTAACAAATTATTACCTATTGATAAATAAATTAACTTTTTACAATTATTTTGTATAATATGTTAAATATCTTGTATAATTGTCTACAGTTAAAATTATACAGTTGCAACTATATAAGTAAACAACTATATAAAATATTTTTAAAAATAATTTATTTTATTATAGACTTTAAAATATATTATAATATGCTTTTTTATTATTTCTCTTATTTTACAATAAAAGTGTATAAAACGGGTATAAAATAATAATATTTTTAATTATTAATTTTATGTAATTTAAGTATACGCAATTAATTTTAACATATTGTTAAAAAATTATTTTTGTACTTAAATTTGCTTCTAATTATAAATCATTTAAAATCATTTAATAAATATTGAAATATACTGTAGATATAAAAGCAGTTTTTATAAAATAGTTTTCTAAACTTTCTAAAATTAATTTATTCAAATAAAATATTTTAAAAATAAATAAATTTTAATAAGTGATTCTTTTTATGAATATATTTTATATTAAATAAATAGCACACAATTTTTTAATTGCAATTTTCTTTATTGTTAAAAACTTAAACAATTTGTACTAAAAATAAATTATTTGTTGATTTATGTGACATTTATTTTGCCGGTGGTCTGCTTGAAGCCACAGTATTCAACAAATGGATTTGTTCAACGAGTATGCAAACAGTTTGAGTCCGTTTAGCCGGGTCAGTTATACCCTGGATTTTCTTTATCATATCATTAAAGTTATTGCCAATGAAGTCACGCATCTATTATTCAAATAAAATATTAATTAAATTAAATTAATAATTAAGAAAATATTTTTAATTAATAAATTATATACTTCTTGATGTCTATCAGCCCAGTAATTACTGCCCATATTCTTCAATTGGGGGATCAATTTGTCTAAAGTATCTAAACATTTGTTGACTTCATTGGCCAACTGATCCCAAAGTGTCTTTTCATCGCCACATTTGGTCGGCTCAACCTCTCGTCTCTTAGTGTCGACATCTGTGCGCCAATCGATGACTCGTGCAGTGACTGCAAACTTTCCCGTGGCGTCGGCCGCTTCGGTACTGTCTTTGATTAAAGGTATTTTAGCCAAAGCTTTATGGAAACCAATTGTATAGACAGAGGTGTGAATCTTTTGGAAAATATCGTAGGCTTCAGGGTATCCCTGTTTTTTCAAACCCTCGGCCCAATTCATCATTTTGTTGTCCATATTTTTGATGTGATCGTTAATATAATTCAAGATCTTCACTGAACCAAATGTCTCTTCTTTAGTCTTCAGCAACCATCCAATAGCGTCTTTGATGACCTGTCCCTGAACTTTGAGTATATCTTCATCTTTGAAGGATGTGATGGGATATTTGGTATCATCACCAGGGTCACAGCGTACTAATATATATATATATATATATATTATACTTTTAATTTAAAATTTTTAAAATATATTTTATATAACATACCCAAACATACGAATGCAAACAATACGATTGACTTAAACAACATTGTTATTTAGTTTATGGTTAAAACTTCTTATTTTGAATCATAAAAACTTTAACTGATATTTTGTTTGGAAAATTTCAAACATTTATATACCTTTTTTGTTATAAAATTTGTGGCTAAAAATTAATTAATTTGAACAGAATTTTCCATTTGTATAGTAATTATGACATATATATAAATTTATACATCAATATTATAAAATAATTAATGATTTTCTTATATTAAATATATAATTATTTAAACACTTGTTATAATTTATTACATATATAATAAACTTAATAATTAATTGACACTAACAAGTAAGTACTATTTTTACATCATTTTATTATATAAATTGATAAAATTAATTTTTTAATTTTTTAAAACACTGTTATATTTCATGCTAAAAATCTTTATTGTAAATGATTGAATGATTTTATGAATAACATGTGATTGTTATTTAGTAATTTAAGCTACAGTCTATCATATATCAATTTTCAATGGCAAACAAGTGTTTTCAGGTATTAATGATTGATTTTGTTAATTATCACCCAAATATATTTGCAATATATCTATGCATATATACAGTAGAATTGATCTAAACTGTTAACAATTGATGAAATAATAATTTAAAATACTTGCACCCATTTTCGTAACTCTAAATATTGTAATTAATATATTTTAATTGACACATAGTTTTTGTAAAATTATAAAATAAAATAGTACTGTAATTATTATAAAAATATGAATTTTATATTTAATATTTGTTTTGATAAATAAAATCATCAAAGTTTTGATGATATTTTGGAAGACCTGATGATATACAATATGACAGTCGAGTTGTGTATCGTATGAAAAGAGTATTCAAATGTTGAATAATATCTGATAACCCTTTGATAGAAAAACGACTTCAAATGCATTTCATTATATTTAAATAAATTATATATAAATCTTTAATATAGTTTTAATAAGTCTTTTAATACATAATTTTAGTATAATATAGTATAATTGTGCAAATAACTGATGTTATTTAGACATTATATAAATAATATTATGTAATTTATTATTATATATAACACTAAATTAAAAATGAAAATAATTTTTTTATAAACTTATTGATTGTCTAAAGTATAGACTTTATACATTACACTAATGAAATAAATGTAATTTATGTGTAAAAATAAACTACACTTTTATGTATTTTTTTGAGAATTAATTTTGAATATTGATTCTCATATTAACTTTTATTAATTAATTTGATATCTCATTCATCATTAATGTCACTCATAATTGGCTTTCATCCATAAGCTTGACTTTGATAACATATTGTCAAACAAGATCCGCCACAATTGACTTTTTTAATAATGCTTAAAGATTTGATTATTTCAAAACACAATACCTGTATATTCAACAAAAGAAAATAAAACATTTAGTTTAGATAAAAAAAATATATGAATAAACAACTTATAGGTTATATTTTAATGTTATCACTTTAATAATATTTAATTGATTATAACTAATCAGCAAAATAAAAAAAAATAGCATTAAATATATTAGTAGATAAACTAGAAAAATAAAAGTAGAAAACATTAGATAAATTTTTACCAATAAGTTAAAGAAATAATAAAATATTTGTTTAACATATTTAGTGTTTAAAAAACAAAAATGGTTTCAATACTAAATTTATTATTTTCCGTATCATTGATATTATTGGTTGAATTGAATATTAATTTAATATCAAGTGAGAAGACAATCCCGGCTTCAATAGTATGCTATTACAGCGCGTGGGCCTATCATAGACCCAAACCTATGAATTATGACATCGACGACATACCGGGTGATCTTTGTACTCATGTTATCTACTCCTTCATCGGTTTGGACAACAAGACCTATGATTTAAGACATATTGATCCCGATTATGATATCGTTCACAAGGGTTACGAAAAATTTGTTGGATTGCGCCAGAAGTATCCCAAACTTAAGCTAATGATAGCTATTGGAGGCTGGGATGAGGGCGGCAAACAATACTCAGAAATGGTTTCCGACAAAACTAGAAGATCTAAGTTTGTTCAACAAGTGGTCGATCTAATGAACAAATATAGTTTTGATGGTTTTGATCTCGATTGGGAATATCCCGGTGCCAGTGATAGACAGGGAGCTTATGGTGATAAAGCCAACTATTTATTACTTGTACAAGAGTTGAGAGCTGCCTTTGATAAACAAAGTCGATCCCTATTATTAACGGCTGCCGTACCCATACCTAAATTTCGTCTACAAGATGGCTATGAAGTGAAACAATTGGGTCAACTTTTGGATCAAATTCATCTCATGTCTTATGACTTAAGAGGTGTTTGGGCCGGTTTTGCTGACGTACACTCACCACTATATAAGAGACCCGGTATTGATGAATACGCCTACGAAGCACTCAATATTGTAAGTAAATCATAAATACTTATCATTTGTTTTTAAAAAATAAAAATCTATTTTTATATAAACTCTATATGTTTTTATCAAATTATTATTAAATGTCAAACTAATTAAAAAACAATAAGTAATAACTAGTTTTGAGTAATTTTGTACTTATTAGGTCTGAATTTATTATTTTAAAAAAACATTTGATAAATTGTAAAATTATATTTGCAATTAATTAAATAATTATATTTTATAGAATGATGGCACATATCTATGGCATACAATGGGTGCCCCCAAACATAAGCTTATAGTTGGTATTCCCTTTTATGGCAGATCATACACTTTGGGTGATAAGTCACAACACGGTTTAAAAGCGCCAATAAAACGATGGGATCCACCCAACTATGGCGGAGGTAATCCTGGAAAATATACCAATGCTTCGGGAATGTTAGCCTACTATGAAATATGCGTCCAAAAAGACTGGACACACAATATGGATAATGTGGGCAAATGTCCCTATGATTACAAAGATACTCAATGGGTCGGTTATGAGGATGAGACCACTGTTGGACTTAAAATGGATTGGGTTAAGAAAGAGGGTATGGGTGGAGGTATGGTTTGGGCTATCGATTTGGACGACTTCACCGGTATTTGCGGCAAACAGAATCCATTGTTAACTGTAATGAAAAATAAATTAGACGGTTATCAGGTAATAGTAGACCCAACCGGTGCAACCACTAAAAATCCAGGACCGACTCCTGCGCCAACTCCTGCTCCGGTTACATCGGACACTGAAACACCGAGTCCTGGACCAACCGGTTCAACTGGTACACCTGCACCGGTTACAATATCTCCATTACCTCCCGATGATCAGTGCGCCAAAGGTGCCAAGTTTGTACCGCATCCGGATTGTCATAAGTATTATTGGTGTATCAACGGAAAGGCTACTCTTGAAGACTGTTCTTCGGGTACAATATGGGATCAGGACTTAACTGAATGTGTTTGGCCCGACGGCAAAGTACGACCTTATTGTAAAATGTAATCAAAATGTTATGAAATTGTATTTTTTAAAATTGTTGAATTTTAAATTAATAAATAAAATTTATATTGTGTTATATAAGTAATTTTTTTTTGTTTCAACATATTTTTGTTGCAATTTTAACAATTCATATATAATATAATAATTTATTATTAGGTACTAAATTATTGTATTATAGCTAAAAGTGGAGTAATCATAACAATACTATAAATATGCATAAATACTTTAAAATTATTTAATTTTTTAATTACAATTTCCTCTATGATATTGTTGTCAAACCGGCAAACTTTTTAGCATTTGGCGATAAACTAATGTTTTTATAGTGCTATTGTTAAGCAGGAGCAATCATCAGATGGGACCGCGTGTTCAATATAGTAAAGTGGACAACACTTACCAACAAACCTACCAATTATTAGGACATGTAATCACTTATGAAAAAATTAATGAATTATTTTTGAGAGAGAGAGAGAGGCTATGCATTAATTGTTAATATGTATAATTTAGACTCTATCTTACTATCAGACCGCATAAGACCAGTTAAAAGAGGTCTGATGCAATAATCTGGCCAATCATAAGAGTAAATAAAAAATAATTAATTATAAATATATTGAGTCTAAAATTATCTATAACTTTGCCACTTGTGGTCATTTTTATATTAAAAATATAGTTTAATAGATATTCATAAAACATTATGAGTCGGGAGTCTGATGCGGTCTGATTTTAAGATAGAGCCTATAATTTAAGCAATTAGTATCTAAATTTAAAAATTGATTCAATGCTTTGTACAAAAATTGTTATAAAATAAAATCAGTCGCAAAATAGTCGGTACTAGTTTTATGAGAATAACTTCTCTCTGGATTAGAATTCAATAATAATATTTTATTTGCAACTATGGTTTTTGCTAACGTTTACAATGGTATGACTATTTAAAATGTATATAAGCACTGGTAGGCTAGCTCAGGTATGTTGAATATCTCAAAAAACTATAAGAGATATTTGAATTCTGTAAAAACAATATTAATCTTATTTAAAATTAATTTGTCAAGTGTTTAAGCATTTTTAAAATTTTTAATTAGTTTTTGAATAAATTGATCTTGAACACTAAAAAATGAAAATTTCAATGTCATAAAAATAATGTGTCAAGGTATTTTGTGTTGCTGACAATTTAAATAAATACTATATTTTAAATTGAACAAATAATCTATAGACAAAAATTTGTTAAGTTGTTTAAAATTTGAGATATTTTGTAAATAAATTTTTCTTGTTGTATTTTTTCTAAATAATAATTTATATTTAATAAATTGAATAACAATTACTTCTAAAAATTATAAATTTAGGGAAAAAATTAGTTTTCAAATATCTTAAATATATTTATTATTATTAAATGACATTAAAGTACAAATGCAGATAATAAAAAAATAATATACAGTCAATAATTATCACTTATATCATAAAATCATTTATATTTTGTTTAGCAATTTTAATAGTAAACTATTTTTTAAATTAATGTATAAGATAATTTATTTACTCGTATTAATATGTACAGTATTTACACATAAAATCAATTGAAAATTTATTATCGTATTTATTTCATTTATATTTATAATTAATTTTTCTATTAATATTGATTTATTTTAATATTTAGATGTTTTACAATTAAAATAATCAACAAATAAACTGTTTTCGTAAACAATCATATAATTTGCATACATTATCATCTAAACAATAAATCAATAAAGTAATTATTATTATAATGCTATTTATGTTATCCAATATACTAAATAATGTAAATCGTAAATAAAATAGTCAATATTATAAAAATGAAATATTTTAGTAGTTTATTACTTTTTTAATATCTTAAATCTTATTGTTTATTAAAATAAATTAGTAAATTTTAGATAACAAATTAATTAATTCATTATTTAAATAATATCAGTTAATTAAAGTAAATTATAAAATGTTTGGTCGTAAAAGATATCACAATCTATTTAATAAAACTGATTTCATAAATAACAAAAACTTTGCGATTAACTCGTATTCAGATTACGCTAATAATGAGAATAATAATTATAATAACAAAATTTTTAACAGTTATGGTTATCCTGATTATAGCTTCAATTATTATAACGATAATTATGTTAATAACAATTTTAACATTAACAACACCAACAACAACACCAATAACATCATTATTAAGAATAAAACAAAATTCAAATTTAAAGATAATTTTTCAAAATTAATGAAATCTATTTTTGATTATAAAATTGAAAATCAATTTGAATTTTTATTGCGATGTCTTGTATTTATGTTATGTTTGACTGGATTTGTCTATCAATCGGAAACACTAATTATGCAATACATGAGTGGCCGCACTGTAGTCAACACATCTATCGAGAGACTAAAAGAGAGTAAAATCCCGGCCTTTACTATCTGTTATCCGACGTTCCTATCGATGGAAAAGTTTGTTGAAAGATATCCACAATTTAAGGACGATTTTGAAGATTACAAGAAATTGTACGACTCTTATGGCGGAAAAAAACATGAAAACCAAACGGCAATAAACGAGTTATACAAAACATATTTCGTTAAGTTTATGAACCGATTGAATGCCGACAATCCAACCATTCAAGACTTGTTTAATAATTTCAGTTTTAGTAATAATCAAAAGCCAATTATATTTGTTGTCGACGCCAATACAGAAAAAGCGTTCATCAATGGTAAAGAAAGAGATAATGCTGTCTATGATATGGAACCGGTAGAGTCAATGACAACCACACCGCCCATACGTAAGTGTTTTACATATTACAGTGATTTATATGAGAAATGGCGTCACTTTCAGATCGGTATTCAAAGTTTTTTTGCACGAATACCACAAAACAAAAACTGGTTTCCACAGAGTAAGACCTATTTAGGTGAATATGATTTAAGTATACATTCGCCTAATATGATACCTGCGCTCAACAAAGAAAACTTTGTTAAAATAAAAATGCCGTCCGAACTACATCTGACTTTCGCGGAGATACAGATCCAGCGATTGCCGCCAAACTATGTGACCAAATGTCACAACTATGACCTGAACGCCACAAATCACATAAATCTGAGAAGTGATTGTATTACAAAATGTATGGACGATTGGGTAAAGAAAGACTGCAAAATTCAAACGACACAAATACCTGAACAACTGGTCCGACGGGAATATTATGAAAACCTGAATGAACTTAACTTAATAGATATCAAACAAAAGTTTGGATCACTTACTAACACAACACTTACTTATTGTATCAAAAAACAGATTTATCAGTTGATAAAATGCGAAAACATTTGTCCTGAAAATTGTATTGAAAGGATTTACGATTTTAATATAATTGAGACCAGAGGTCGGGCAGACAATATTGAGTTTCATGTAGAGCACAGTCGACTACCCGACCAAATATTTGAACACAAACCAGAAGTCTACTTCATATCGTTTGTGTCAAACTTCGGTGGTCTACTCGGTATGTGGTTAGGGATGTCCATCATATTGACATTTGATTATATAATCAACTTTATATCGAAAGTAGTGCAAAGTTTTATCGACAATTCAAATAGAAAAGTGAAAACTATTAAAAGCAAAATTTCCGACAACAATAAAGATATTAATAACAAACAACGGTTTAAAGATAAATATAATTACAATGTTTATGATTATAACAATTAAAATACAAATTAAAATATTGATTAAATTATTGTATTTAAACAGTAAATATATTTTATATAATATATTAAATAATTTTTGTAGTTTATTTACAATAATTTTCATTTGATAATATCTAATAAAATATAATTTATAATTTTATGCATTGATTAAATTGCATAGCTTTACAAAATGCATTAAAATTATTAAAGAAAAAATTATAAATATCATTACACAAAAAACAAATATTATATATAAATGGCATAAATAAATAATAAAAATATTTGTCAGAGGTTTTGGTTATATAGTAAATAAAATTCATTAATATATTTTTAGTTATTAAATGTGTTTTATAAAAAAAACTGAAGAGATAATGTTTTTTTTATTAAAAATTACTTATATTATTGATATTCATAAACAATAATCAATATAACAATAAAATTGATAAAATATACAAAAAACAAATTGATTTATTAGATAAAAAGTTTGTATTTAAATAATAAGAAATATTAAATAATAATAATATAATACAGTCTACAATACCATATAATTATGTTAATAATTTATATATTATTATCTATTGACAAAATAAAAATTTAATATACAATACTTGTAAATGTAATAAAAAATATATTTTGAAAAAGCAATATATTTGTACTTTACTTTACTTTAATTTTATAATATTTAGAATTTAAAAAATCAAATTAAATATAATATAATTTTTTACAGGTAAATTAGTATAAATTTTACATATTATAAATTACTATTTATAATTTTTAATAATATATATATAGAACATACAATATGAATGTAAAGTCGAATAATAAAATATTTAAAAGTAAAAAAAATGTTAAAGTTTGTATAAAACTGTTAGTTATTATAAGCTGTTTGTGTGGATTTGTATTTCAAGTAAAACTATTAATTGAAAACTATTTGAGCGGAAGGACAATAGTGAGCACTGAATTTGGTAGACTTAAAGTCAGTAAAATACCGGGAATTACATTATGTTTCAAATCAATTATGTCAGTGGAAAACACGGGTCTCTATTACTCGACGGATCCATTTTATAACAATACATATCATCAATATATGGATCTAATTAGTAAAGTTAAAAATGACAAAAATGACAAAAATAACAAAAATAACAACCGTTTAATGGATCAATTAAAGTCTATTTACACTCAAATGTGGAACAAATTGAAACTTAAAAGACCTACAATTTATGAACTCTTTGAAAATATAACATTAAATGTGAGAAAATCACATGAAATACAGGTATCAGTCGTAACAATCAATAGTAATTTAAGTGAAGAAATATTGATAGATTCGCAACCATTTGAATCCATGTCATCGACGCCAACACTCTTTAAATGTTTCACTTATTTTAGTGATTTAAACCCAAAATGGCGTAATTTTGAGACAGAAATAGACCATATTTTACTTATATATAAACCACATAATAAATGGTATCCAAACCATAGAGACTATCGAGAATTATCTGTAAGTATTCACTCACCAAACCTAATACCTCAGATCACATCTGAATATTTTATAACAACTCAGTTGCCATCAAAAGTTATTATCACTTATAATGAAATACAAAAACATCTTTTACCACCTTTTTATGAAACCAATTGTAGTGACTATAGACTGAATACCGATAGTTATGATAAACTTAGAGGAGATTTTGTAACACAATGTTTGGATCAATGTTATAGAGATCGGTGTCGAGAGTTAAACAAATTAGATAAAAATAATAGGTTTACTGTTCAAAATATATATATTCGCGATCAACTCCTACGACGGGAACATTATTTAAATGAAAGTCATAAAAATGAAAAATTTAGTTACTTTTCATATGATGTTGGGATTGTATGGGTTGGTTGTGTTATTAGTAGGAAATGTTATTTTATATGCGAACAAAAGTATGCAAACAATTGTATTACAAGAATATATAACATGAAAGTCGTGGAGAAAACACCATTGAATACCAATTTAGAGATACGTATTGAACACAACTCATTACCCGATAGAGTGTACAAACATTTACCCGAAACCACATTCATTGAATTGCTATCAAGTTTTGGTGGGTTATTGGGTATGTGGTTAGGGATATCTATTTGGCTAATACTAAAAATTACTATTATTATGATATTTAAAGACTGGAAAAATAAAAAACAAAAACGAAAGAATAAAAATAAATTAAAAACTAATAATTTTATTGAATATATTTTACGGTAATCATTATTGATGTACAATATATTTGCATGATTTTTATTTAAAAATATATTACCAAAATCTATAATTTTAAATTGAAAAGTAATTGTTGCTATTAAAATATTATTATTACATAATTTAATTTTTAATATTGTTATTACATTATATAGTTTTTTGGTATTATTATAAGTATTATTGACAGTTACGATTAATTAATAAATTATATTTTAAATAAAATTATGTTTTTGCAATAATTTTATATAATTAAAATTAATTATTATTATTTTTAGTACATTATATTATGTTAATTGCAAATGCGGTACAGTAGTCAAATGTATGATTAAAAATTTTACTTTATTGTATCATTTATTAATGTCTATAATAAATAAAAAAAATATTTACACTTTTTAGGCTCACTTTTATTTATAAACTATAAGTTCAAAACCCTTATTAAATCTGTCGCACAACAAAACTAAACAAAATAAATATATTTAATTCCTATGAATTCAACTAATGTCATGAATTAATTAGCAATTACTAAATGCCTATAAAGTATTACAAAATTCGGTTCAAAATATTATCATTATTTAAATATTGTAATAAAACTCTAATATAATTAGTACAGTATATATTTACATCAAAAATTTGTAATTTAATTATAGTTTAATAACCCTCTAATTAATGTACAAATTGTTACCAACAAATAGATTTATGTGATTTGATATATATATATATAATGAAGTAATTTTATTCTATAGTAACAATTATTTTTTAATTTAATATTTAATAAACTAATACTTAAAATGATTACTAAAGTATTATTAATCAACTGTTTATTTAATATTAAAAATAACTGTTTATGTAGAATAAAATTACTTCATTATATATATATATATACTTAGCTTAATATTCTGTAGCCTTGTTAGTGCATAGATCTATAACAGTATATTTCCTACAAATGCTATTATTATCGTATAGTTTATTATTTGTAGACTATATTAGAAAATTGTTTATTTTTAGAATTTGTGTTTGTTTTAAGTAAAAGCATTTATAGATTACTTAATAGACTATAAGTTATATTTGTATTATTTTCATATTAATTTGTGTGTTATATTAAAAATGCCGGTCAATCATCCGGTTGTACCCAAAGGTCCGTCAAAGGCAGACATACAGTGCAAGGACAACGAAGACGGAACCATTAGTGTGACGTATGTACCACCAGCTGAGGGAGTATACAAAATAAACATAAAGTTTGGAGAAAAGCCAGTAATAGGCAGTCCTTATTCGGCTAAAATTACTGGTGAAGGACACAAACGAAACCAATTATCAGTCGGACATTCAAATGAAGTGTCTCTAAAAGTAGAAGAAAAAGACTTCAAACTGTTGAACGCAAGTATAGTCGCGCCGTCGGGTCTCGAAGAGCCCTGTTTTGTCAAGAAGTTAGCGAACGGACATTTGGGCATTTCGTTCACTCCCAGAGAAAATGGCGAACATATCGTTAATGTCAAGAAACTGGTAAACCATATCACTGGCAGTCCATTCAAAATCAATGTATTGGAGAGAGAAATAGGCGATGCATCTAAAGTTAAAATCACCGGATCAGCTCTTAAAGAGGGAAAAACACAAGTTGTCAATGAGCTGCTTATCGATACTAAAGAGGCCGGTTATGGTGGCCTAAGTTTGTCAATTGAAGGTCCGTCCAAAGCAGAGATCCAGTGTAAAGACAATGATGACGGCACACTTAAAGTTACGTATCAGCCAACTGAACCTGGATTTTATATAATGAATCTCAAGTTTGCCGACCATCACGTGCCCGGAAGTCCATTTACTGTCAAAGTAACGGGAGAGGGATCTAAAATACAGAGAGAAAACATTAAAAAGGACACGGATGCAATGCCCATCACTGATATTGGCTCTGAATGCAAACTAAGTATAAATTGAGAAATTTTATTATTTTTGTAGAAATAATATTTTTAATTTTTTAATGACAGCATTTAAAATCCCCGGTACCAGTCCTTTCGATATGACAGCTAAAGTGGGATCACCTAATGGTGAACAAGAAGACGCAGATATTATTGATTTGGATGACTGTCTCTATGCTGTTAAGTTTGTGCCCAAAGAGGTCGGCATTCATACAGTTAGTGTTAGATATAAGGATATTCATATACCCGGCTCTCCGTTTCAATTTACGGTCGGACCACTCAATGATTACGGATCACATAGAGTTCATGCCGGAGGACCAGGTCTTGAAAGAGGAACATCTGACACTCCAGGTGTGCTAATAAATATATTTTAAAAACTTTATTTAATTTTTGTTTTCACAATAAAGCTGAATTCAATGTATGGACCCGAGAAGCAGGCGCTGGAAATTTGTCAATTTCAGTGGAGGGCCCCTCTAAAGCGGAAATTGATTTTAAGGACCGAAAGGATGGGTCATGTTATGTATTATACAAAGTGTCGGAACCGGGAGAGTATAGAATCGGAATCAAATTTAATGATCAGCACATACCTGACAGTCCTTATAAGGTATATATATCTCCGGCCATCGCTGACGCAAAAAAAGTAGAGTTGGGTGCCATACCTCCAGAACATTCTCTTCAAGTCAACAAACCCGTCACTTTCACTGTCAACCTAAACGGTGCAAAGGGACAGTTGGATGGAAAAGTAATCTCACCTTCGAGTAATGAAGACGAATGTTTTCTCAGTAGTATAGATGATGATCAGTGGTCACTGAGATTTATGCCCAAAGAGAATGGCATTCATCGTATAAATGTGCGCTTCAATGGCGTTCATATACCTGAAAGTCCATTTTCATTGCGCATCGGTAAAGATGATGCGGCACCTGAAGCTGTCAGTGTCTATGGAAATGGTATAAAAGATGCGCGCAATGGGGTTAAGACAGATTTTATTGTCGACACGAGTTCATCTGGTGCCGGAACTCTTGGTGTAACTATTGACGGTCCATCTAAAGTGTCAATGGATTGCACTGAAGTAGATGTAGGATATAAAGTTAGATATACACCATTAGCACAGGGAGAGTATTACATCACTGTTAAGTTTAATGGATATCATGTGGTGGGAAGTCCTTTTAGAGTCAGATGTGTTGGTAAGTACAGTACTTTTGACATTAATTTTAGATTATCATTAGATTAATATTGTAATATTGAATCTGCTTTTAGGTAACAGAAGTATTGCAGATATCTCTGATATCGAGTCTTCATCAGTAGTGGTCGAGACTGTGACCAAAATGACAAAACAAAAGATAGAATTACCTAAATTCAGATCCGATGCATCAAAAGTTGATTGCAAGGGATTGGGTCTTAAAAAGGCTGTTCTCAACCGAATCAACAATTTTCAAGTCAATTGTGTCAGTGCTGGTACTGTATTATCATAATTATAAAAAATACTGTATAATAATTTTAAAATATTTTTTAGGAAATAATCTATTATTTGTGGCATTGTATGGCCCAAAAGGACCGAGTGATGAAATATCTGTAAAGCATCAAGGTCGTAATATATATAATGTGAGCTACCAGTGCCGCGAAAAGGGAGATTACATAATGGTGGTCAAGTGGGGCGATGACAACGTACCGGGCAGTCCATTCAAAATTGAATGTTATTCATAATTAATGATTATATCTATCATTATATTATGTTCATTGAATTCGTGTCGAGTATTAGTTGGTTATTGCTTTAAATCCTATGAAATCCTTATTATAATTAGGAAATATTTTGGTTAATATTATGCTTAGAATATTGAAATATTGCTAAAATTTATGATTACCGGTAATTAGATAAATAATAATTAAACTAATTTATTTGTAATAAAATACTACAAATCATTATACAATTTTACAAAACAATTGATAACAAGGTATTTTATAATTTTAATTCTAATATAAACTTTACAATTATTTTACAAATTTATTAACAGTATCCAAAAATAATTAATCAAATGTTAAGGTATTATTATTAAATTAGTTACAGTAGTGCCCTAATTTTTATGATATATATATATATATTATTTATTATTATTTTTATAATTAACTGGATATTTTTCAATTTAGATTTATTGAAAATGTCAATTTTCGATATATTTAAATATGTATTTTTTAAAAACAAAATTTAATTTATTGTTCATATAATTTATATACCTTTAATAAATGTATTTAAAAAGCTTTGCTATTAAATTAAAATATTGATAAAAAAATGTTTATTTAAATTAAATAATATATAATATGATAGCTGATAAAGTTAATCAAATTTTAGTCATACTTTTTTGGCAATTGTGTTTGAATGAAAAAATCTATATCAATAGCATATTTAAAAATATCTGTCAAATACTATAATTAGACAATTAAAATAAAAATATTAATTGTTTTATCTAATGTTATGCATGTGTAATAAATAAGTATTTCATCAAATTATCAAACAATAAATAAATAAAATTATAAAGTTAGATTCATATAAATTCTACAACAATTATTAGTAATTTGACAGATCACATAATTATTAAAATATATATTTTATATTTATATAATATAACTAATTTGTTTGATAAAATAAAAAAATCTTTATTATACAAATTTTTTAATGGATGTAATTACAGATGATTTCAATAGTGAGTATAGTCTTACATCAAATTCAGATGTGACCGCAGTTTTTGGACATTTAAATCGTGTCTTTTGTAATAACAATATATACGATTGCAATATCAACCACTTATCCAGTGATGGATCCGATTTGAGACAAGAGATACTCGTGTATCGAAAGTTGCAAATATTAAAACACAAAGACTTTCGTCAAGAGTTTCGCTGCAAACGAGATATTGAATTATTTACACAACAGTATTGTGTTATTCTTGATTGTCATTCATCACAATTGGATCATATAATCGACCAAATTTTAATAGTAAATAAACTATACTTTTTTATTATTATTTTGTTAAATATAATAATTAAATATTTTATTGTAAATTTCCATTAGTCTAATACTTTTAATGTCTAATAAATGTTGCGAAATCTAACTTTATTCTTACGTACAAATTTTATTATAAACTTTTATAACATAATAATACTGTATAAATGTAATATAAAAAAGTTGTATAAAAATTTTTATTATAGCATTTAAAAAATGTGCAATCATTGGATCAAACGATTGATATCAGTGACTCCTTATATGCATTAAAAAGTCAATGTTTGCGGAATTTCATACAAGGCATACACTTAAACACTGAAAATGGTTATCAATACAACCACTCATGGCTTATAACACAGTAATATTAACATATTTTATTAAATACATACAACAAATATATATATATTTAAACTTATATTTTATTTTTATATTGTAATATAAATAAAAATAATTTATTGCTGACAAATATCACAAAATGTCATTATCTATTAACTTCAATACCTATCATTGAAGACTAGTTGTCATAAAATAATGATAAGATTTTCTAAATTTACAATTAGGCTAATTCATTATTTTATCAATATAAAAATTTGACTAATAAATTAATTAAAATGTTTTATTAAAAAAATTGAATACAATATAACTACCGTAAATATTTTATAATATAGATCAATATTATATGATAATACATTGAATTATATTAAATTTATTATAAAATGTAATTTTATATCAAAATTTAATTAAAAACTACATCTATCGTAAAATAAAACTTAATTTATTTAAATTAACATTACAAAAGTAATTTTTACTTTTATTTTTTTTCAAATTAAAATAGTTGTAGCCATCCATCGGTAAAGAGACGGCATATATGTATAGTCCGACTGAAAAATGCCACAAATTTAGGAATTACTTCACAAACTAACAAATTCTTTGTACTGATTCTGTGTCCGGTTAAAGAAGTAATTTTCTTTACATTTTTGATGAATAAATTAAAAAAAATAAAATAAAAATTAATTTAGAAATTGACGAAAAGCTCTGATGAAGTGAGTCACACATTTGGCACTTTATTTTCTGATCTCTACTTCAGATTAGATCTGATTAATGCTGAAACTGTCGAAGAATTTATAGTTTCAATGAAAAAACGTATCCAACAATTGACAACCAATAAGACATGTAATTCAAATTTGATGGCCATTCAGGCCATTCAACATAAATATGAAACGGTAACCATATTTACTAAAAATAATATTATATCTGTTTTAAAGTATTTACTCTTTTAACAGACACTTAGCTTTAGTTTTGGTAAAGGAATCGCTGAAAACTTTAAGCGAAGGTCTGGTTATTATTGGAGTGACTTCACTGATGGTATGATTGAACTATAGATTGAATGAATAAATGAAATTTTGTTTATTATAAGCCTTTGTCGGTGAAAAATCAATTCACAAGACAATGGCCACAATAGCGTCACTATATTTTGCGATAATATTGCCGTGCATTGCGTTTGGTGTCCGCGACCACAATAACACCAACGGCAACATTGATGCCAGACGTGCTCTAATTGGTCAAACAATTGGTGGTATAGTATTTGCTTTATTTAGTGGTCAACCATTGGTGGTCATAATGACTACCGCACCGTTATGTTTGCTAACTAAAGTGGTTTACGATATATCTGAAGACTTAAGTGTTGACTTTTTTGATGTGTTTGCTTGTGTTGGCCTCTGGAACGCCCTGTTTGTCATTATGTACGCCTTGTTTGATGTCAGTTATCTTATGAAATGGTGTACCCGTTCTACTGAAGAAATTTTCGGCTTGTTTTCATTTTTTGCCTTTTTTATTGATCCAATCAAAGACTGTATTGAAAGTATTGTCAAAAAATAACTAAATAATTTCAAAATAAAGTTTTAATATAATGTTTAAATTTTAGTAATAATTACTATTTCTAATAGATTTCAAAAAGTTTTACTGTTTTTCAACGTCTGGTACCGCTTGTCATGACTGCGCTCCACAAAACAGTGTCTTATTTTTGATGTTAATGTTGTTTACTGTATGGTTGGCACTATTTATCTATGATTTTAACAAAACGTGAGAAAATTTTTAAAAAATTTATTATTATAAACAAAATAATTGTTTTGTATTTATTGATTATTTAATATTAGGAAATATCTTAATTCTCATTTTCGTGAGATTTTGTCCGATTATGCCTTACCTATAGCCGTATTGACCACAAGTTTTGTCGGATCTTATCTGTTTCAAGAAATTAAAGGTATTTTTTAAATTTATATTTATTATTTTTGACATTTTATATAACATTAAACTATTTAACAATCAATAGCTGAAAAGTTTGAAATCATCGACTCATTTGAATTCAAAATAATTACTTTCAAGAGTTTAACCATATCTTCAATATTTGTATCACTTGTGTTGGGCTTTGCACTGTCACTGCTCTTCTTTATGGACCAAAACATTTGTATATAAATTCTGTTAATATTAAACTATATTTATATATATATATTATATTATATCATATCATATGACAGCTGCAGCTTTAGTGAACAATCCGAGCAACAAACTAAAGAAAGGCGAAGCCTATCACTGGGATCTACTGGTGGTCGGAGTACTGAACATATTTTTGTCTTTGTTTGGTCTTCCCTGGATGAATGGTATGTTACCGCACTCACCCATTCACGCCCGCAGTCTGGCAGATGTTCATCGACTGGTCGACGCCAGCGGACACGTAACTGAAGAAGTGGTTCGCGCGCGTGAAACTCGTGTCACCGAACTGGCGACACACGCGCTGATTGGTGTCTCACTATTTTTGATACCCCATCCACTCGATTATATACCGATTGCTGTCCTCAACGGTCTGTTTCTCTACTGTGCCATTGCATCACTTCGTGGCAACTCTTTTGTTGAACGAATGCTACTCTTTATTACTGAACAAGTATTCAATTATTAATAATATTATTAACAATTAATAGTATAATATTTTTTAAAAAAATAAATTTATGTATACAGACATCATATCCACCCAATCATTACATACGCCGGTGTCCACAAAATGTCATACATTTGTTTACTGCAATTCAAATCATTCAATCAGCTGTTCTCTGTTTCTTTGCCTTCAGTGTCTGGCCATACGTTCAAATGGCTTATCCGGTAGTAATTGCTATATTGATGCCAATCAGGTATTATATTATATATATAGTATTGTATAATAAAATAGTAAACTGTAACTAATTTATGTTTTATGTTTTTTCAGAGCTAAACTAATCCCATTAATAATTGATGAAAAATATATTAAAGCCATCGATGGTTATCATTAACTATATTATTGTATGTTTAAAAGATTTTTATTATTTTTTATTATAAATATAAATTATATGTGAAATATTATAATAATTTTATATTTCATTACACAGATTTTGATACATAATTTACAGTTGACAAATAATTTTCAATAAATATATTATCCAGTGAAAATTTATAAACACTCAACTAAAAAAATTAATTATTTTTATAAAGTTATGATTAATATTTAACTTATAAACCGAAATTTTATACAAAAAAATTATTAGTTAACGAAATAGATTTCCTAGGAATTCCCATAGAGCAGGAATCATAAGGAACTTTTGGAAAATAAAATTAGGGAGGGAATATGATCTAATACTAGATAATTTATGATATCGGTAAATACATGATTTATATAGAAATATGATTATAGCTAATATTATGCCAAACAACCATGGTCCAAAAGCAATTTTCATGTTGGATAAATTGAATACATGTATTTGGTTATCATTGTAATTGATAGTTACATACATAGACATCCCAAATATTTGTTTGTGACTTTTCCATCCAAAATCTAATGCTGTTATAATTGATTTTTCCAATAAACGATTTTCCATAAAAACATAATTTCTAACATTTTTTAATCACGTGTTAAAAATTACAAATAAATTAGTTTATATATATATATAAATAATTATTTTTTATAATTACATGTTTTCCATTGTATTAAACAATTGTTTGTCTATTTCATTGCTAAAGAACTGAGAATTATGAGTTGTTAATGAGTTTTGTTTGCCATAAAACAGTTTGCGATCATTTCCTTTCAATAATCTAATCATATAAATGTCACCAATAATACAGTGAGTATTAAGTTTTGATTTAATAGTCGATGCATTTATTGCTAGATTAACAAGTGTAACATCAGTATGCAAATCATTATTAGTAATACTTTTATCTATAATGGCTTTTTCCACATAATTGTTAGATTTCTATTATTTTAAATTAAAATAAATAATTACTAAATTATTTTTAATACAATATTTGATAATATTGATTATTTCTAAACTATTTCAATAGTTTAGAGGAATAGCTGAAACTATTCCCTTCATTACTTAAATTTTATAGTTATAATGGTTTTATAGTTACTTCAATCTTTTTAAGTGATTTAGCCGGTAATAACACAATTGGATTTATATCATGTCTTTCCAATAGTTGATTAAATGTCTCAATAATTACATAATCCTTATGTATAGTTCGCGATAGTATTATACTCGACGAGCATTGAAATACAATCAAAGATAATATAAATACACTGATATATATTAAACGTTGAAATTTAAATTTGGTATTTAAATTATAATCTAACATTTAATAAATAATTATTAATAATAATATATAAATAATTAATATTAAATTTTACAGATCTTACAGTGAAAGCAAATTATTTCAACCATAGATAAACATTCGCCCAAAAATACTTGAAAGCAATTAAGTGTTTTATTTTTTATGGATATTTGAAATTTAGATAATGTCATTATATTGCATATTAGCAAAAACGATGCAATTAATAGTAACCACGACTAAAAAATAAAATGAAAACAAACAAATTAATAAATTTATTTATTTATGATGTATTATTTAATAAATATGGGGGCACTGGTAGTTACAATATACCCAGATATCAAATATTCCACTAATAGCTGATAGGGTATCCTTTTGATTGGACGCATATTTCATGCCTAAAATGTTCATCAGTGGCACAAATCTGAATAATGCAACCGATAGTTGACCGGATGTCCTCATTTGCCTATTAATTGTATCGTATTTTAACAATATTTGAATTTTCTGTATAATCGGGTTTTTAAAAATATAAATTATAATTAATTATAAATTTAAATAATCTTTAAATACTGTATATACATTTTGTATGACATAATCAATAAATATTTTGTCAATAATTGATTGATATTGACCATTAGCTATTGACACATTTTGGGAGTTAATATAAATAGGTATTGCACTAAATTTTTTAATTAAAAAAACACAAATTCAAGTCAAATTTATTAGTTTTAATAATAAAACTAAACTTATATTGTAAGCGTTTTATTAGCGCTTTGATAATTAATACAAATGGGCCGCAAAAAAATCCATCCTCTTTGCCCATAATCTACAATAAATAATTTATAATAATTATTATATTAACTAAATTATTTTTATTTATTTTAAACCGCATCACTCCAACTAAATGTAAAGTTTCCTTTTGATGTAAAATTATAACCAAAATTATGTATTGAATTGTGTAGAAATTGATCGCCAGTATAACATTCAAAATTAGATTGCACTGAAAATAAGGGAATCGGATTCATTATTAATAAAATTAATTAAAATTATAAAAATATTTAAAGTAAATTTTTGATAAAAATGTTTGACTGCTTTAAAATGTATTTTAGCCTTATTTTATAAATACATTTTATTTTACTTTAAGTAATTTATTAATGTAAATTTTGCTAAAACATTTTGTAAAAAATCAATTTAATATCCTATTATATTTAAGTTTATTAGCATATGAAAAGCAATTTTTCAATGAATGTCATATTTTTATGTTAATAAAATAAAACATTATATTCAAATAAATAACGAATTAATTTAATATATTACAACATTTATTCCAAAATATTTATTTATAATAAAAAATTAATTTTTATTAATACTAATATTATTTTTCAATATTACTGTAACTAGAAAAACAATTGTTATTATAATGTTAAAAACTAAAATTATTTTTGAAGGATTTTGCAATATGATGATATAATTTAAAATAAATTTATTATAATATATTATACTTATTGACAAGTTATTGCAGATTATCAATGTAATATTATCAAATATAATAACTAAATGTATGTTCAATTATATTACAGTATTGACAGTTGTATAAATAAAATCTTATTTACTTATTAACCAAAAAATTTGAAATTTATCATTGTTTAGTATTGTTTTAGCAAACAAAAATAAAATTAATAAACTAATTAAAAATTAATAAAATAATATTTATAAACAATAAAAAACTAATTAATTTATCTTGTTGAATAAATTAATAAAAATTGATAATATTAATGTAATAATTATCTAATTAACTATAACAATGTTTTATTTAAGTATATTTCTTATTTATTTATATTTCGTATCAATTTATTTGGCCAGTGATACGCATATAATTTATAGTCAACCGCAACAAATTCATTTATCATTAGGACGTAAGCTATTTAATTAATATTAATTTAATCAATTGAATTGTTTAATAAAAATCTATAAAATATTATATTATTTATATGATATATTTATTTTTGAAAATAAAGCGTCAAAAAGTGATATTATTGTTACATGGGTTACATTTAATCAAACAGAAAGTTCATTAGTTAAGTTTGGAAATTGTCAATTAGATAAATGGGCTCTACCTGGAAGTGCTACACTATTTACAGATAGTGGACCTGAAAAGAGGCAAATGTATATCCATAGAGTGATTATCAATGATCTTAAACCGGGAGTTAAATATCGTTAATAATGTTTTATTTATACTTTCTATTTCTAATAACTGTATAATAATATGACTGATTTAAAAATAATTTGTTGAATAGGCTATCGCTGTGGTAGTAGAGAGGGTTGGAGTGCAATCTATGCGTTTACAACATTAAAAAATGATAGCAATTGGAGTCCAAGGATTGCTGTTTACGGCGATTTGGGTAATGTCTTAGCAGAGAGTTTAGGTCCACTTCAAGAGGAAGCCCAACAGGGAATGTATGACATGATCATGCATTTGGGTCAGTCATATTTGCACTGGTATTGTAATTGTTATAATTGATTAATAAATAATTGTAATTACAGGCGACTTTGCTTACGATCTTATAGATGTTAGTTTCAATTTTATTAATCTTAAAGTCATTTTTATTAATTGAAAATTTTATTGACATTAAAAGGATAATGCTAGAGTGGGCGATGAGTTTTTTCGACAAATTGAAACTATGGCAGCTTATGTACCTTATCAGGCATGTCCTGGAAATCATGAATATCATTAGTAAGTTACAACTATTATATATTATATATAGTTTTTTTTAATTATTTTTTATTTTAGCAATTTTTCCAATTATAATAACCGGTTTTCAATGATGTCTGAAAGCAATAATATGATCAATAATAACTACTGGAGTTATAATATAGGTCCGGCACATATTATAGCTCTATCAACTGAATTTTATTATTATATAAAATACAACCTTGGTGATGGGGTATCAGAAATGAAAGCTCAATATGAATGGCTTGAAAATGATTTAATTGAAGCAAATAAAGCTGAGAATCGACAAAAAAGACCATGGATCATTACAATGGCACATAGACCTCCATATTCCCTATTTCCAGATGATAATGTATTTGATTATTTAAAATATTTATATTTATTTAATATGTATTTATTTTATTATCCAGATAAGATTAGGCTATAAATCAAGTGATGGGCTCCGACACTATGGTTTAGAAGAACTGTTCTACAAGTATGGCGTGGATATAAATTTTTGGGGCCACGAGCACATGTATGAAAGATTGTGGCCTATTTATAACAATACCATTCATAATGATAGTCAAGCATATGTTAATCCAAAAGCACCGGTACATATAATAACTGGCTCAGCTGTGAGTGTCATAATTTTACATAAAAAATAAAAATCTGTATAATATTCAATATAATAATAATTGTAATTTTTAATGGAAAGGGTTGTTTTATGAAACAGCCACCTGTTCACAGTAAACCATATTTTACTGCTCTATATAATCAGGACTACGGTTACACTGTAATGACAATAACCAATGGAAGTCATATTAATATCCAACAAATATCTGACGATAAAGTTTGTATAATTTATATATTTGTATTAAAATGTTATTCAATAAATTAAAATATAAATATTACCACCAATTTATTTGTTATAGAAAGGAGCTGTAGTTGATAATCTAGATATAATCAAACACACATCTAAACCAAATTTTGGCATTAATTAATTAAAACATTATATAAATTATTAATTAAAATAAAATGTATGACATTATATCAATGAAAAAAATGATATATTTGTTTAAATTATTATTAAAATAATATATAAATATAAATAAATTTTATTAGTTTATTAATTGATTGATTAATTAATTAATTGATTTGTTGATATTGGGAAATAGGAACATAGTATCTAGTTAAATTAAATGGAAAAGCAAACTGGGTCAAATTAAATTTGATTTCTGGTGGAGACCATAAACTTTTAAATGGATTTTTATATTCCTCATCAATAAATTGAGCGCCTCTTTCAGCTAACATCACTACAATAGCCAGCGATTGCTCGGTTGGCACCGGAAGTATGGATGCATCGATAACACGCAAACCCGTCACACCTTTAACTTTAAACTTTTCGTCGACAACCGATTCGGTATCATTAGCTATACCCATACGACACGTGCCAACCAATTGAATATAATCAGTCATAGTATAGACAATGCAACGCAAATATGAATCACAAAACTTGTCATAAAAGCAAGGCTGACAACCGGGAACTGGCACTACAAATGGCTCGACATATTCAGAGAAGTGTGTCGAGTGAATCACATTCATTGCCTGTTTTAGTGTATCGACCAAATCATCGACATCTGACTGCACACTGAATAGTCGCGGATCAATCAAAGGTTTGGCAAATGCATTGTTAGACTCGAGCTGTAAACTACCTGAGCTACGGGCTCGACGTAAGACAGCTTTAAGTTTGAATACCAAATGACCCAAATAAGGCTTAAAATAGTCGTCCCATTCATATCTTAAATGAAAATTTTCGACAACTTTATCCATTTTTTCGTCCAACACATCAATGTGGGGTAATATACACCCATTACTTATATTTGTGTTTTCATATGATATTTCCTTAAAACAATGGATCCCTGAAGCAATATAACCTAATGGACCAGTATGTTCATTATAATACTCATACTCAACATCGGTAGTCATCAATGGCTTTTCGGATGTTTTCTGATCTTTGATGTTATAATTGATTTCAACAAACACTGAATGCTTGACATTTGTTCCGACCTTTAAGTCTGAAATGAGAGGTATTTGTAATGCATTCAAATGCTCTTTAGGTCCGATTCCCGACAAAAGTAACAATTGAGGCGAACCTATGATTATATGTTAAATTATAAATCAATTGATAAATACTAGACTAATGACTTACCAATAGCACCGGCACATAGGATAACCTCTTTGCGTGCTTTGATAGTCCAAAAACTGCCTTCTTTTTGAAACTTGATGCCAACCACTTGTTTCTTGTTGTCGAAAATTATTTTGGTCACAAATGCATTGCCAAAAGTATTGAGATTTGGCCGCACTTTGGATTCCAGATATGCCGACGATGTGGACAAAGCAATACCATCTTTAGTGACCATTTGTTGCATTATTGTCGCACCAAATGGTTGTCTGCCATCAGATAATGTTTCATTATATCCCATCTTCTCGGCTGCCATTAGGTATTTCCGTAAAATATTGTCCGAGTTTGGTGTCGATACAGTTATAGGACCACCTGTTTTATGTTGACTTTCCCTCAATTGAACTACAATTGAGTCTAAATTGTTTTCTGATTTTTGAAAGTAAGGCAAAACATCATTAAATGTCCAATTCTTGATGTCATACAAAGTGTTCCACAAATCAAAATATTCGGGACTTTCCCGATAATAGTTGAGATGACTTAGTGTTGACGTTCCTCCAAACACACGGCCCGCAGGTATAGGTATTTGACTTTCTTTTCGCGCAAAATAAGCATATTTTTGGGGCAGTATTTCATGATTCCAGTCAATCTCTGTACCCTTTAGTGACGGTCTCAATGCTATTCAATAAATTATTTTATAACTCATAATTTAATGTAAAATGTTAGTCTTATATATATATATATATATTATATATACCGGGTATATCAGTGGACGAATTTTGAGCACCTCCTGCCTCCAGTAATAATACTGTTTTGGTGATGTCATCGGCCAGTCGTGCGGCTAAAACACTGCCGGCAGTGCCGGCCCCGACCACGATGTAGTCATAGGCAGTAAACCAGTACTCACGGGATACGAGAGAGTCGTGTTTAAAATCGCGGGCGTTTATAGCAATAGAAATTGCTATCAATTTGATACCAATGGTAGCCATTCCTAGTGCTGCAAACAACACATTTGCTTTTTGGGTTACATTTTATAAAATGTTTATTTAATTGCACATATAGTACACTAAAATGTTTAGGAAATTAATAACCATTTTATTTGTTGTTATCACCAAAATTTAAGTTAAACTACTACTAAGCCTTCAGCTTATGTGCTCCACTTAAAGCAAATAAATCATAATTAAATTTAATTCAAATTTGTATTTTTTAATTTTAAACTAATCATAAAAATTTATTAACTTTTAATAGTTATAAAAATTAAATACTAGTGTACTCTTCGAAAAAAATTTATTTAATTACAATTAGTTGACAAAGTGTTATAAGATTCACAGATAACATATGACAAAGTTATAGAAAATTTCAAACTGAATAATATTATAATTAGTAAATTAAATATTATATATATACTGTATATATTATGTATAAAATGTATAATTGAACAAATAATTGTTTCTATATTTGAAATTATTGTTGATATTACTATACAAAAATATTTATAGTCGGTGACAATTATTTTTATATAAAAAATATGTATTTTATGTCATTTTATTTATCTTGATGTTGTTAATGCAATTAATTATTTAGAAATACTGAAAAAGATTGATAATTGCAATCAAAACAGATCCGACTTTCTTATTGTAATTTATACAGATTTTCTAATAAAAATAATGACATTATAAATAATTATCACTTTTAGTAACTAAATAAAATTTTTCATAAAAATCTATTTAATAATTTTTTAGGCCAAACATATCTGACATTGATGATTAATAATAATTGATAAGTTATTGCAGTATATTTTAATATGATTTTTTAATGTAATAAATAAAATATCTACTATATATGTAATTTTAATAAAAAAAATTAATTAACTCAAGTAATATTTTAATTTAATTTTTTATAAAAAATAAGCCATAAATTAATTATTGAACTGATAAAGTTTTAGAAATTTAAAGTCTAAATTATATTTTATATATAAATTTTTAAATATTGATTTATCTAATAGTTTTAGTATCGACACAATAAAAATATTAGCTAAGAAATACGTTATATAATACAAGGATATACAGAAACCAAAATTTATTTTTTTTATATTAAATTGGAAAGTAATAGGAAAATAATAACAAAAAACAATTAAAATATAAATTGTGTAAAATTAAATAAATTAGAAATATTAGACTGAATAACAAGAAACAAATTTATAATTAAATAAAATTAATGAAATTAATTTGATTAAAATAAAATTATATTATAAATTAATTGGACAGTTATTTTCTTTTGCCGAGTAGAGCACAGTTACATGATTTTGGAGCCACACAATCGTTTTTGGCCAGTATTGAGAACTTGCAGGACTGGTATTTCATGCATTCCATACCACAACTAATCTCAGTCAGTGGTCCATCAGCTGACACGTCCGACACCACAATAGCCAACAATACAATGCAAGCGATGACCAAAATTTTTTTATTCATTATTTCTATTATAAAAAATAAATTACTAATAATGGAAATTACTATTATTAATAATAATCATACTTTTTAGTAGTGTAGTATAGATTAAGTTAATTTAGTCGACAAAAAATTATTATTAACTCAATGATAATTTAAAGTCTCTATTTATATAATTAATATTTAACTGAGTAGTAATTAGGTAGAAATGTGTTACTTTCTAATATTTTTTTAAATGCATTTATTGAACTTTAAAATTATTTCATTAAAGTAAAAACACTTGATTTTTAGAGATTTGACATAATTATAAATATTTTGTTATTTAAAATTTTTAAAGTTAAAGTTTGTTGAACTATTAACAAAATAAAATAAAATTCAAAAATTTTAATTTTAATAAATGATTTATTTAATAAACTTAGAAAAATATCTAATTAAACAATTATTAAAACAAAAATTATAGAAAACAATTGATATGTTATTGACAATTACTAATTGTATATTAATAAAAAAAGTCTAGTTTTGTAATACATTAAAATAATAATATTATTTTACATTTATTTTGAGATAATGTTTAACCCATTATAGAGCAGTTGCATGACTTAGGATGACTACATTGGCTTCGGGAGAATAGACTTAGTTTGCAATAATGGAATTTAAGACATTCGACAGCACAGGTAAGTTCACCCGTTTGACCACTTGTTTCATATGTATTGCCATTTTGGTTGTCATCGTCACCACAAATAAGTCCAACAAATGACATGAAGACAAATACTGTTACGAATAATAAAGTTTTGTTCATTTTTCTATACAATATATAATTTAATAAATTTTTGTTTAATTTATTATTAAATTATAAAGTTATTTATGAAATGTTTTTAAAAAATATTAAGCTATTTATATTAAAAATGTTTCATGGGTAACCTCAATTTAAATTTACCTTGAATTCAAATTAAAAATTGACAAATTAATTAAAACATTTTTTGCTGAAAAAATTAAAACTAATTAATTAAAATACCCAATGTTACTTTATATTCATGATATTAGATTTTTAAATACCAAAAAGATTTTGTCAAATTCAACCAAAATTTAAAACAAATAAATTTTTTATCAATATTTTTTGTTAAATTTATATATTAAATATTAAATACAATACATGATTAATATTACAAATGAAATTCAATGATTAATTAACTAATAGTTTAGTTATATGATAATTATGTGCTTATTTAGTGCGTTTCCAGATATAAATAGCTGTATTTTTAGGCCTGACTTCACCGGAAAACATTTTAAATGAAATATAATAGTTATTATCGCCGCCATCGGAACCGGTATACAGAGGAGGACTCCATTTATCATTAGGTCTGATCTGTTCGTTATAATTGCGAGTAATACCCGGCTTTGGCTTTACTTGTGTGACAATTGCAGCGATTCTGGGCGAGTGGTCTGTCTGTATGGTCTCAAATGGTTCCGAATCGTTGCCAATCACACGAAAGAATAGTCCACTGTATTCGCTACTTATGTTAGTCCACTGCAGTGTCGGCCAAATAACACCCGGTTCCGGTTGGCCCGGGAGTTGAACATAGACAAAGCCAATGGGAACTAAATAGAAATAAATAGGTTTATATATAACAATATAAAGATAATTATTTTGATTATAAGAGAGACCTGGATTATCTATGATCTCTCTAATATAGTATTCATTGGCTGCCATATCTCTGAGCGCCACATCTGTCTTGTTGTTAATGACCTCAAGTTTTGACTCAAGAAAATGATTTTTTTCATCAAAAGCTCTTAAGTCGTCTTCAATTAGTTTTAATTTTTGTTGATTTAAATCGCCAGCTCTTAATCTGATGTCATTATATGCTTTTGAAAGATAATTCAATTGATTTTTTGTCTTTAGAATTGTCTTCTGAAGAGTCAATGAATCCCATTCAACAAACTTTTGACATAAAATCGTATTTTTCTTATAGCAGACAACGTCTTCCCATTTTCCTATTGAAAACATCTTGGATTCAACATTTGTTTCGACAGTATTTTTGTCTTTTAATTCAATGGGTCCTCTCATTTGGACACATCGTTTTTTTACATCACCGGTAGGCTTATTAATGGCCCAGTTTTCAAACAATGGTTGTTCTCCATCGGTGGTTACAAATGAGTTAAACTCTTTGCCGTCTTTATCTAAACGCATCAAATCTAACCAAACAGTGTCCTCAACATTCAATTTTGTCAGATAATCGTTGACAAAGTTTTGCTCTTCAATTGAATGAATTGATAACAAATCAATGGTTCGATTGTTTCTTAGGTCTTCAGATTTGCACAGATCTCTGGCTTCTGATTGCGTCAACATTTTCTCAATAAATAGTATACACTTTTCATCACCATATTTGATCCAATTTCCTGATCCACACAAATCTAAACATATTTCAATAAATTTTATACAATTTTTTCAAATGATTTTGAGATATTAAAACTTACTGTTGCTTAATGTTAAATCAAATAAATTTATTAATATAATAGTTTTAATTACATTTAAATAGGTTAACATAACTAGATTTAGATTAGACTAGATTAGATAATATTAAATTTTAATAAATTTTAATATATGTATTTTTATTTTTAGTTAATTAGTTTTAACAGCATTATATTATAAAATTATATTAAAGTGATAACACATAGTATGCAATGAAATAAAGGTCAACGATCTAATAGTTAAAAAATCATGTTTTTAATGTATAAAAAGTAATTTATTTGTTAAGTATCAACTTTTTTTTGACCATGATAATATTTATGCAATAATAACTAATTTATTGTCTTTATTGAAACATGACATATTTCAACAATAAATATTCAGAAATTAGTAAAATATTTTAGTTTAAAAACTTATCATTATATTTTATAAAAATGTTATGACATTATTCATATTAAAAATAATTTATTAATAAAATAAACATATTTATTCACCAATACTCAGTGTGTATTACACACTCATGCAAATCTTAGATTGTTTATTTGCTATCAAATATTGTATTAAAGCTATTGAACTAAAAAAAATAAATTAATCAACAAGTTATTAAATTATATCAATTAATATTAATATACTATTAAATAATATATTTAGTAAAAAATCAAAAACAATCGTAATTTAAATTAGAAATCAATATAAACTATTAATAATAAATATCTATAGTAAATATTATAATATTTGCTGATTTCGATGACAATGGATTTAATCAATGATATTGTAATTTTTTCATTTTTATTAAAAATTTAATACATGTTAGTAAAAAAATTTTATTTAACAAACAAAATACAAAATATATACATAATATTAAATATGAAATCAACTAATTCCACGTCTAAATATTTTAGTAAACTTTTTATTACTATTTTGACTGTTGTTGTAATCAATTTATGTCATAATGTTTATAGTTTTGAGATAATTCATCAAAATTCTCAAATAGCCATAAATACTGAATTCAAAGTGAAAGTAGAGTCCGGACAGACTGAATGCTATTATCAACATTTGGAACCGGGATATGATTTTTATGCCACAATGTCTGTAATGGTAGGCAAACCAAACTCAACTGATTTCGAAATAATTGGACCAAATAATCAAGTATTGGATAAAAAACAGATGACTAACGATATTACACTACAACACGGCGTACTTGTGTCAGGTATTCAATACTATAATTTTTTATATATATTTATTTTTTGTAAAATATAATTATTGCATTTAATATAATGAAATATATTATTACTATTTTCATAATACTAGACATTAGATATTAATGTGAAAAGTTATTCTAATTAAAGATATAAAAATGTTTCTTCAATCATATTATTTAATGTGTAATAATATAAAAATAATAGATTAGTAATTAATTATTTTTTTTGTAGTATTATATAAATTTTTATTATAATAAAATATTAATATATTGATTGAATGAATATTTTAAAATAGGAACCTATAGTTTTTGTATAATTAACACAAATTACATGTTTGAGCCCAAACTGATTAGTATATATTTGTGGGCCTATCAAAAGGACTCGTGGTCTCAATACGCAATGGCCATCAATGAACCGTTAGATAAGTTGGCCAATATGTCGGCTCATATGCAAAAAACTGATACAAATATTGGTGTAATTTATACACATTTAGAGCGAATGAAAAGAGAGACTTTTAAGGATTGGTTACTTATTATTAGTAACAACCGATACGTCCAGAATTGGTCACTCATTCAATGTGTCGTTATTATCGTCTCTACGGTAACTCAAGTAGTGTTTGTCAGGAGATTGTTTGGCGGCAATGAAAGCAAATTAAAAGGTCGACCACAAGCCTAAACAAATCATATTTTTATTTATAATTTTTAAATATTATTTATAAAATAAATTAAATTTTTAAAATCAAAGTTGATCATGAACTAATTGACTAATAAATATCAATTTTTAATGAAATTATTTTTAATTTTTGCTAATAATTAATGTCTTCATTATATATTATTTACATTTTTAATAATATATTAATTTAAATTTCTATTATTTTCTGAATTGTATAATAGAAAATTTCTATATTATTACTAATAATAATTTATTAGCAATATTGCAATTTTTAATATCATTTTAATGAATCTCGTGAAATAAATTTTTAAATTACAGCAATTATATTTATTAAAAAATATTGTATAAATCAATTGCTTAACTGTACTATAATTTGCAAGTATTTGTCACAATTAAAAATATTTTGTTTTATTACAATAATTACAAAGATATGAATAAAATCTGTCCAATAATTTCATACAAATGGTTTGTTAAGTAAAAGTACATATATTTGTATTAAATTTGTTTATTAAATAATAAAATCTTAGGTTTTCATGGCTAACGACCGCAGCCATCGGCACAAATCATTGGTGTCAATACCGAAGCCGACCGACATCTGAAAAAGCCATCAAATGGCAAATAATAGTAAAACCAAAGTTGTCATCAATAAGAAATGCTTTAGTCATGGATGATAAAGAATGGATGAGTAGTCTAGTAATTGATAATTTTGATTCAATAGTTAAAGTGTGGTCCAGCGATAAACTTAATCCGGAAAAGGGAGTGCAGGGGACAGGGTTTGTAGTGTTTGGCGATGAGGGACTCATAATTACAAATTATCATAACGTTATGGACAAACATTTTGTACAAATTAACTTTTCAATGGATATATCACCGGTCGAGTTGATAGCTGACAGCGATCCATCAGATCCACAAAATTATGAAAATGTATTTCTTTGGTGGACTCAAGTTATTTATGTCGAACCACACCTGGATTTAGCACTTTTGAAACTCCCGTTAGTTAACGACAATAAATTAAATGAATTGACATTAGCTGACAATGACTCGGAAGTGGGAGATGAAGTCATAACTATCGGTAATCCAAAAATCGGTTATTCATTAGGTGTGGGTATAATAAGTAATATAAAACGGTGTTATACTTTTTCTACCGGATATTTACTTTATGGTACACTTATGTGGCCTGAAAATCAATTATACACTTCTTGGAAAATCAATTTAAGTAAAGGTTTTTCCGGATCTCCAGTGCTTAACCAAACGGGACAAGTGATGGGAGTATTGTTTGCAAAAACAGAGTTCAGAGATGTTTCTATAACACGAAGAGATGATCTTTTAGGTAAACCGTTGTCTTCAGTTTTGATCTAATCTATTGATTAGTTTTTTTAATTATCAATATTTTGAAGGTTTTCTAACCAGAGCTACAAGTAATGGGATGGCTGTCTATGAAAATCTAAAGACTAAGAGAAAACAATTGTTCACAAATAAGTTGTTTATCGGTGTTGTCATTGAATATTACGATTCTGTATGTATTGTCTCTGGATTTATGCCGTATGCCTATAGTGTCAGGTATTCATTAATATTGTTATTGATTTAATAATAAGACTTAATAATAACAATACTATGGTTTTGTTTTGAAGAAATGTTTTTAATATAGGAGATGTGATTAATACTGTCAATGACATACAAGTGGACACAATTGATGAGATCATTGATGTTTTAAATGCTGAACCCGATAGTCAATCAATTGAATTTAATGTATTAAGAGGAGGCTCTCAAACCAATGTTACAATTAATAAGAATAGTATTGAAAATTTTTGTCATTTTTAATTTATATTTTATAATGTTTTTAAATAATTTAAATATTTATTGTAATATTATCTAAATTGTTAAATTATTACAAATCCTAAATCTTACAGTTAATAAATATTTAATGATATTTTTTAAAAAGATTATATTAAAATATTTTATTTTAATAAAATTTAATACTTTTATAATTAAATAATGTACATACCATACCCAATCAATAAAATTAATTACTATTTATATTTTCAATTAATACTGATTAATACTAATTAATACTTTTCAACTACAAGTAGACAATTACAATAATTAGGAATAATTTTTTTAAATAAAAATTTTAACAACAATTAATTAAACTTATGAACCACTGAAAAGCCTAATTAGGTTATTAGAGGAACAGGTCATCTAAAATGCTTCCCATACAACACTACAACAGCGATGAGGATAGCGATTATGAGTGGGCGGATGCACCGACAGATCCACCTAAATGTGTGATTTGCTTAGGCGGTGAATACGATGAGTTTGAAAATACTTTCAAATCGCTTATCAATCCTTGTAACTGTATGGGAGAAACAGGTAGTTATCACTATCGATGTTTGGTGCCGTGGATCATCTCCAGTCAGGATCGTCCGTGTAATACCTGTGGCCACAAGTTTGTGGACGACCGCATTATCCGATATCAAACACAAATGCCTCAAATCATGTCTATCGATGAGTTCATTCAATCAAATCAGTCCGGACTTACCGTTAGATTCGTGCGGTTTCTCAACTCAAGAACATTCCTGTCGATAATGAATTGGTTGTTCATATCATACAATCTAATAATACCTGGCCTTACATTTGATTTGGCCCATCAATTGCTGCACCAATGGTTTTGTCGGTCTGAATATAAACTCTACCGACAAATCATGGAAAGGGTTATTAATTCTAAACATGAAAATGAAATCATTATATTCTTAAGATATCCGAACACCATCTCTGAGCCCATCATATATAACAAGTATGATTGGCATCAGTGGACTGTTAGACATTTCATGCGAGAAATCAATCGCGATATGCGATGGCTTCGTTGGGTTCAAAATAGTTGGAATAGGATTTAGTAATACAATACTAAAAACATTAAGTTTTTAATAAACTTACAGAAAAAACATTCAATTATATGCTATGTTTTTGTAATTATTATTTCAAATAATTTAAACTCATATCTGTTAAATAATTTTATGGTTTGTAATTATGGTGTTATTTAGTTAATATTATGTGAATTATGGTTTGTATGGTTTAAATATGGAGCCTCGGTGGCCGAAAGGCTAAGTTGTTAGCTTTCGAGTACGACAACACGAGATCGATACCCGTTTGGGTCGCATAACTATATTGGGATTTTTAACGCAAGGAAACAGATAATATGTGTTCGAACAACTGTCCGCATATATAATGCTGTCCTATCGTTAATATGGGATACAAATCATGGATATTGTATGGTCTAAATCAGCTCTCTTTCTTTCTTTCTTTCTCTCTCTCTCTCTCTCACACACACACACACAGAATAATTGATATATACAATGAACAACTATAACTGTGCAGATAAAAAGTAATGTATTTCACAATTTATTTAATTAATTTTAATGAAATAATGAAAAGTGTATTAATCTAATATAAATATTGTGTTATTTAATAAATTAAACAATTATTAAAAATATCAAATTTAATTGTAACTTATTGTAACAATTATTGCATCTTTAATATTATATTTAACCAAAAGTAGATCATTCGGAATACCCGAACCTAAAATAAATTCAATATTTTTGGTTTTAGTTGTGTTTTAATAATTTAAAAAGTTTAGTTTATCTAAAATTAAGTGATAATCATAAAAATTAAATAATAAAATTTATAAGTCTACACATAAATTTAATAAACATTTGATGATAATATTATAAATATTAATAGTATGACTATTACATTGCAGTACAAACTAATAAAAAATGTTTATAATTATAAAATTTTAACAAACGGTTATGATTTTAACAATTTTCAATTGTTTGGATTAGTTTTCGGGTATAACTAATGTTCGGTTCGGTTCTTGAAATACATGTTTTAGTGTCGATCTCTAGAGTCTAGAGATGAACACATCATTTATGTGACAAAACATTGCATTTAAAGATAAAACTCAAACATATTATTGAAATACTTTAATAAACAAAACATTTGATAAATATTTGAAATGTGTTTTCATTTGATTTGTTTATTGTTTTTGACATACATTTGATTTGATTAAAATACCCACCGATTGAGTGGCCAAACAAAGTGGAGATCAACTGATCGGGTGATCATTGGATTGCAAACATGTCATCGCATTCATCATCACAGGACGCGACCGATACGCCGCTAACACTGAACGACTGGTTGCGGGCAAAGAAACAAGACTTAAGACCCGAATCCCGAAGCAAAGCGTTGGCCATTCAGGCGACACAAGCACTGGATTGTGACAAATATGAAGACGCGATGGTTTACTACTCAAAAGCTATTGAACTGACGCCACACGAGTGGACACTGTATGCCAACCGAGCCTTTTGTTACGACATGTCCAACGATTACGAGTCGGCTTTAAGTGATACCCAGAGAGCCATTGATCTGAACGAAGAAGCCATCAATAAAACACTTAAATCAGACACCGATCAACTGAAAGAAGCCGTCAAATACCGAAATAAACTTTTGTTTTGGCGCAAAGCACATGCATTAAGAGGTTTAAAGCGCTTCCAGGAGGCCATCGATGCACTGGTCATCGCTAAGTCTATAGCTATTTGGTGTAAATTCATTGACGACGAGATTAGAGACATCAAACTTGAAGTGATTTGCGGTAAAGGCTATGACATGACTGATGTGAAAAACATTGCAGACTCTAACCATTCAATTGACTCATTGATCGCACAATTGATTGAAAAGAAGAAATCTATGCTTACGGACAGTGAGACCAACGAAACCGTTGATTACTTACCATCTAATCCTTTCCGATACCGTGGACTGTATATCAACGGATTGGCCAAAGATCTTGAAGAAGAAAAATTTGAAGAACTTATGCAAAGTTGTGGTGATATCATTCGTTGTCGAGTCTACTCTAATGAAGAAAAAAGTCGAGCAATCATTACATTTGTTGAGGAGGAAGCCGTCCGCAAAGCTATCCGTACGATACGGTCTCATAAAGAAATGATTCAAAATGAATCGTTGGCCGGACTCGTCATTAGATATCGTAATACATTTATCACCGAAGGTCTCACTGATCCGCAAACACAGTTTACCGGTACAGAGATTGCTGGCGAATGCTTTAAGTGGCGGACAACTGGATGTGATGACAAAGAATGTAATTTACTTCATATACCTATTTGCCTTCATTTGGATCAAATACATAGCGGTACTGAAACTGAATCCACTGCTAAACGCAAGCGTCAGATCATTGTGTTTGACTTGAGTTCATCGACCGACAAAACATTAGATTCTCCTCACAAAAGATCATTAAATGGTGAAAGAAAAATGATTAAATCAGATCTGATTGATGAACCACTTAATGGATTTCACTCAACATCTACTCCGACCACAAAATTTACGAATTCTTTTCGCCGAAGATATCGGTTTGATATCGACGCACCCGTTGAAGATGAACCGGCTCTCCCATTAAGTCCCATAAAGTTTGAGTCGTCGAGTAGTGCCCACAAAGTTATCCGTTTAAGTAATAATTCAATGAGTGATAGGACGGTAAATGACTTGAAGATCACAAAAGTCAATTCAAGTGATAGAAAACGTATAGTTTTCGACATAAAGCCCGACTCCACAGCTAATGACAATACTTCCGATAGTTTATTGCCAAATAGTAAACAACATTATTGTCCAATAAATAGGTCGGACCGCGACGTCACTTCATATGATGATCTCTTTGATTAAAATAATCATTAATTCATTAAAAATTGTTTTCATTTTCAAAGATTTATGGATTTGTTTTACCATTATATACATTTTTCATACATTTTAAAGAAAGCTTATATTAAATGTTTTAAATTTTATACTTTTATATTACCGGTATCAGCAAATTGGCTCATTATCATCAATTTATTAATGTAATGTAAATTTTGATAATTTATTGTGTTTTTAAACATTTTAAATAAAGTACATACAATTTGCTTATTGATTTATTTGCAATATATAAATATAAGGTAAAAATTGTATTTTAATAATCATAAAATAGAGTAATTTTATAATACAATTACCGGTAATAAACGATTTAAAATTAGATACTGTAATAAGTTTTATGACAAAACTAAAATCATAATCAATATTAAATTTCCAGTAAATTTTTTATTAATTTAGTTTATACAGTAATAGAATTAATAAATAAAACATTAATATAGTAAGAAATTGTCAAAAAATTGTAAAATTTAAATAATTAGAAAATAAATAATTGTTTTATAGTTGACAATTGATTGATATTAACCGCATTGTATTTTTGTGGACCTATTAAACGGTATTGTTATGGTGTTTTCGTTTGCTATAAAATTGTTCAACACTTCGAAGAATCATCCAAACAATAAACACTAGAAAACCACAACAAATCAAATTACTGATTAGATTAAGTATTATGATTAGGATTAAGTTCGTGGGTCCTATCTTTGGTAACCATTCATTCGGTGACATCCATATCCAACTGTCCATTTTGGTTGGCTTAGCAGTACTTGTTGTAAGAGTAGTCAAATACTCGGAACTGATAACAAAACAACACACGAATTACTAATTAATTAAAAATTTATTTTACTTGTAATCACCTCAAAGACAGAATAATAATACCCAACAACCATACTGTGCGATGACTTAATTTCTGGACCATAATTTTGCCACAAATAAATACAATTACAACTAATGATAAGTATTAGAAAATCCTATCAATTGCTGTTAAATAAAAAATAAAATTGAAATTTTATAATAGTTTGTCAAACACGCGCATACATTAACAAAATTGTTTTACCATTTCCAAGAATATACTTCAGTTTAGGTTCACATAAGTATTGTCTCGCAATGTAAGCTAAACTATATAAATATATATTGGTTTGAATAACGAGACAATAATATAAATATATATATTAATATTTAATAATATTTAATGATATATTTTAGTTAATTTTAAGTTATGTTAGATCGCGCGACAATAAATCTTTAATGTAAAGATATATAGAAATATTAATCGCGTGCCAACATTTGGGAGTTATACGATACATACAGTATATCCAAAGTACTGTACACTACATTTTGTATTCAAATATTTTTTATCAATAGTTAACGGATAACAGAAAACACAAATTAAAATATATTTGAGACCAAAAAATTGAAATCCAAATCAAAAGAATGTCCGAAACCAATAGTCTTTCTGATGATCAGTCTTTGCATGAAAGAGAAGATGAGTTGGAAAATGGTATGAATGATATGATTGCAAATATCCGCAAATTGGATAATCAGTCAGTGGATGGACAGTCACAATATGACTACCAAATCCCAAGAGAATCAATATATGCGAATCAATTTAATGTATCGACAAAAATGCAAAACTTTGAAAAGTATTCCTTCCCAACAACAGACAGCTCTAAGAGACCAATGATTTCTTCTCAAGTCTTAGACTTAAATCAAATGCAAGAATTGGAATCGATTAGTGAAGAACTCTATGAGGAGGAAGAAATATATCCTCAACACGAAGGCTACTATTCTGATAGTAGTGAAAGTAGTTTGGATTACAAGTGGTCCAATTGGTCCGACTTGACTATGTCTTCAAATTTACCAGTAATTGACTGTCAAACAAACCAAATACAGTCCAATTGTATGCTTACGGGTCATGAAGACAAAGACCAAGATTTTGAAGGAAGTAGTGATTCCATCTCAAGCTTTGGTTCGGACTTTGATTCGATTCTCAACTACTCTTTGAAGTCAAAGTTAGACATCGATGACTATTGCGATGACAATGAGACACTGAGAACGGCCTGCGATTCAGTAGAAAGATATTCATTGAACTCTAAAGTTGTGCAAAAAGAGTCAATCAGTTTGTTTGAATCAGAAGCTTCTGTCTCTGACTTTGTTGAGATCATCTCAGATTCAGACGAGTTCTTCAAGACATTGAATCAAAACTATGAGCCGAATAAAAAATTTGAACAAACATTGGATCAGTTGTCCTCTTCAACTACAAGTACTGAATCGACACCGTTGTCACCCTCAATGATATCCCGTATCTCAAAAGTGACCACCGATTCTGGAGATTCCAATTCAGAGTTGTCTTCAGATGCAATAAGTGGTCAAAAGTCGGTTCAATCAGCAGAAGAGTTGTCATCGCATTCATGGACCAGTTAGAGCTCACACAATGCTTTCGGTTCAAGTAATTATTAAATTGCAAAATATATGTCAAAAATAATTGCAACAAAAAATAATCACTTAAAGTCTGTTTGGTTGGTCTCACAAAAATATGTTGTTTTTTTGTGAAACTAAAATAAAAGAGTTATAAAAAAATGTTTCGATTTTTTTATGAAATTGTTATTTATAAAAGAAATAACTTTAATTKACATCCTTTAGTAATCATATTATAAAAGGAGATATTAATATTATAGTAATACTAAAAATAGTATGAATACAATTTTTTTATCAATTTATAAAAGGTTATATATTATTTGTAAAAAATACAATTAGAAATTATAATTTTCATTACCGGAATATATTGAATGTGTCATAACCAGGGTTTTAAGAAAATAAATGCCTGCCCTGGCAATGCCCAAATAGATGCCATAAATGCCTGGCATTTTGGGCATCTATTTTATTTGCCTGCCAATTTAAATTGCTAAAAAGCAACTGTATTTATAAAAATAATGTAATTTAGTGTTTTAACGTGTTAATTAAATTTACAATTAATTTACTTATTTCCAATTATATTACCTTTTAATTAAAGGTATACAAAACAAAAATACATGCAAATATATTATAAAAACAATGTTTTATAAATTAATTAATAATATAAAATTAAAATAATAGGTGTCACCACATGAAAATAGATGCCCAGGGCATGGCAGAGGCAGGGCAGGCATTTGGCAAAATTGGCATCTATTGTTTATGCCTGCCATTTTTAAAACCCTGGTCATAACATAAAAAATATAAAGAATAGTAATAATGCTCTATAAGTATGAATTATTTTAAATACTGTATGTATAAAATATGTAATTAACTCTGTATTAATAGTATAATTTAATATTATTTATTACAGTGCATTTTAACGTGAAATTTAAATTTAAATCATTGAACTATATTATATTTATCTACTGTATAAATATATAATTTTATAGAATAAAAATATGTTTATAATCTATATTTTGCAATTAGTTTTGATGATAACTTTGATGACATTATGTAATACTTTATATAATAAGAATATCGCGGCCGATCGGAAGTATAAAGCCCAGTGAAAAAACAGTGTTTTTTCAACGGAAAATACTTGTTTGGGTCCTAAAAAACATATACTGATAAAAATTAAAGTGCGGAAACACCTAAAACATACTCAAAACTGGCCTAACATACCTGAGCTGACATACATAAACATAGTGTAAAAAAGCAAAATTTAATATATAGAAATTATTATAATAATAATAAGCACGAGAATAAAAATTATAATTATTAACAATTATAAAATAATTATAAAAACATTTTCATAATATAATAATATAATAAATATCTAACATGGTGTTCGTTCACAACCTAATCTAAATTTCAATGTTAACCTAACCTAACCTAATGTATTAGTGTTAGCTCCGTTACCTAACCTGGTGTTCGATCCGCAACCTTAACCTAATTATAATGGTATTACACAAATGTTAACGTAACCTAACCTAACCTAACCTAACCTAATGTATTAGTGTTGGCTCCGTTACCTAACCTGGTGTTCGATCCGCAACCTTAACCTAATTATAATGGTATTACACAAATGTTAACTTAACCTAACCTAATGTATTAGTGTTTGCTCCGTTACTTAACCTAACCTAACCTAACCTAACCTAACCTAACCTAACCTAACCTAACCTAACCTAACCTAACCTAACCTAACCTAACCTAACCTAACCTAACCTAACCTAACCTAATGTATTAGTGTTTGCTCCGTTACCTAACCTGGTGTTCGATCCGTAACCTAACCTTATTTTCAATGGTAACTTAACCTAATCTATATAATACTGGGGTTTAAAAAAAAATTATTCTATTGAATAATTAATATTAAAAATATTAATCTCGCGCTTAGTTCTAAAAATAATGTATTATTATTAAGTTTTATCAATAGTAATATTCTCGCGCTTACAATAACAATTAGTTAGATTACTGTAATGTTATGCTATGTATGTCAGGTCAGGTATGTTAGGTCAGTTTTGAGTAGGTTTTAGGTGTTTCCGCACTTTTATTTTTATCGGAATATGTTATTTAGGACCAAAACAAGCATTTTCCGTTGAAAAAACACTGTTTTATCACTGGGCTTTAAACTTCCGATTAACCAATATCGCTTGCGGTGTAAGTGAAAGATTGGCATTAAATCCAAATTATTGCAAATCTGATCCCAAAATAAGTAATAGAATTGTTGACGAAACAGATGCTTATATCGATGAGATGCCATGGATTGCATCAGTTATTGTCATCATTGATATTAATACAAGAATAATGAGCTTTTGTGGCGGTGTTATTATAAGCCAAACTTGGATACTAACTGCAGCTCATTGTCTTTATATTAAGTAAATTAATATTTAAAAATTTCAATCAAAAAATGATTAATTAAATGAGATTATAATTATTAATATTTAATTAGTGTAAATAAAGTCGCAAAACCAAGTGATGTGATTGTAAGGATATCATCAAACAATAAGTTAAATGGCAAACCAATGGATATCAAATCAATACACATTCATCCCAATTATATAATCTATAAAAATATTATCAATGATATTGCTTTAATACAATTAAGATCACTAATTTATTACAATAAAAAATATGCTAATCGGGTTTGTATGACTAATAACGATATATCTATTGAAAAACCAATACAAGTATTGTTTGCTGGATGGGGACAGACAGGTATTGCCGGTGATAAGCCTATAAATATATTAAAGAAAACTTATTATATAACTATACCTCCACCACTGTGTCGATTCACAACAAAAAACTTTATATGCATTAATTCATATAATAATTCAGGTTGCGATTGATCAGTTAAGTACAATATTATTGGTATATATTGATATACTTAATAATATATTGTATTATATTTATAAATAATAGGGTGATTCTGGCAGTCCTTTAATACAATATACGGAAAATGAGTGCAAAGCAACATTGCTTGGTATATATTCATCCGGTTATAAACATTTTGAACAAAAATGTGGACCAAAATTAATGATTTTTGTCAGAATTTCCAAACAATTCAATTGGATTTCATCAGTATTGGGTATATCATAACATTTTATACTCTAATACTTATATAGTATATACTATATAGATATAAGTTATAATATTAATATAAACATTATTAATATAAAATATATTTATTTATAGGCAATAAAGACAATATAGGCATTTCTAATACAAATATAACAGAAACAACAACAAAATCAACAATTAATTTAAGTAATAAATTGAACTTTAATTGGTTCATAATATCTGTTTTATATATTTTATTATTAATTTAATGATATAATGTATTAGTAATTTAATTTTTTAAATCGAAAGTATTTATTGTACAATTAATCAATTTTATTAAATTGATAATTTAAAAAATAAAATTATATAAATTACAAAACTATAAATTTAATACAATATTTATGAACTTAGTTTTAAACAAATAAATGAATTTTGTTGAATAAGCAATTATAATAATAATGTTAATCCC